CCCCCGCCGGCCGCGCTGCGTCCCCCCCCCTCCGCCGCGCCCCTCCCCCCCTTGCCCCCCCCGCCCTGTGAGAGTCAGGGTAAGGTGGTGGAGGGGGGTGGGGTGGTTCCATACAAGACAAATTCATTCTTTAACTAGCCATTGGGTGGGGGGTAGCTACTGTTACGTACAAGCCAAACGCATTCTTTAACCAACCATCCTCCCCGACCCTGTATTCCCCTAGCCCCCGCAAGCGTTCCACGAAGACGCCTTTTTTTCATAAGAAAAGAGCTGGTGTCGCCCCCACGCGCAGCTCGGCAGACTGTTTGGGGGTCGCATGGGGAGACAGCCGACCTAAGAAATGTCCGATCATCAGCAGTGCTTGCTGACATCTCTTAGCACTACTACTGCAATTGGGCCCCTTCTTGAGGGATGATATGGCAACCTCTTGATAAGCTTCTAGGGGCAGGCGAGTGACGAGTAACAGTATTACTAGTATTCTATTAGTACCAGTAGCGGTACCAGGAGCTGTATCCATGCCAGTATCAGTAGAAACAGCAGCGGCTGGTAGCAATAGTGGTAGCAAAAGAAGGAGTCCCAGCAAGAAGTGGCTGTGGCAGTGGCTGTGGCTGTAGCGGAGACAGAAGCTCTTGTGGCTGTTGATATCGTTGCGGTTGTGGCTGTTGCTGCTGACGCTGGCGCTGGGCGCTGGCTCTGGTGCTTGCTCTGGTTCTGGTGGTGCTGGTGCTGCTGTTGTATATTGTGGTGGTGCGGGCAGCTGCAGCAGTGGTGGTTGTGGTTGCCGCGCGTTGTTGTGGTCTTTGGGAGCAGTAGCATTAACAGCACTGGCAATTTTACCTGGCTTTACAGCCTTCAGCGACTCAACATTCAGAGTCAACCCTTTGCTGATCAAAGTGAACTTCCTCATTTGCGCCTCTAAGTGCTTCTTAGCGACATCCTGCCCTCCAGGAGTATCCGAAGGCGCAGGTCCAACTTGTCCGTGTCTGGGCTTGGTGGAAGTACTGTTGTGTGTTACAAGGCGCTGCCATTCTGGCAGTTGCAGCAAGAGAGATCAAAGCCAGGGATCCGTTGGATCTTTTCTCACCATCTTAGCAGGCGGTGTCGTGACTGGCTGTTTGACTCTGCAATGTTAGCCATTCTGCCATGCAGTCGGCGCCAGATCTGTCTCAGTTTTGCCATTGCCTGTCCCAATTTCAAATGCCCAGCATGCGAGGCTTACACTCAGAGCTGTTCCCGACAGTCAACGGTTTTTGCAAAGAGAACATGACCGTGCTCTCAGCGAGAGAGGCTGCACCATTCCTGGGAGACCTTTCCAGGCCCGAAAATATTGTTGTGAGAATGGTTGACCGGCCAAGAGTACAGGATGCTGAAATTCAACCTTTTGCAGGCTGGAAGCCACTGACAAGATTGGCTTGCCGTTCTCCTATGCCAATGAGATCTACTCGCGTGAAGACCTGCGCCTGCCGCTGATCTTCGAGGTGACAACTCGCCTGGGCAGAAAGACGCACTGCGCCAAACTTAGTGGGGAGGCAGCTGCATAGATAGCAAAGTCGACCAGGCGGTCACCATTGCTTCGGTCAGTGAAGGTGCCATTTTCGAATTCGTCAATGGCCTGCCTGACATGCACGTTCTAATGCCGAAGTGGGTCATGAATGACCTCTGCATCGATGAGCGAGCTGGCAGCACTGCATCAGTCCAGGCAGTGCAAGGCTCAATTTGTCTTTGAGGCGGGAATCCGTCCGTGTGCGGGGAGTGGAGCTGGACCTGATCACTTCCGCTGCTCGGCTATGCGGTTGTCTTGTGCGTTGTTGTGTGCCTTGCACCTAATGCTGTCAGGTGAAGGTTCAGCCTCACAGCGTGGACTTCTACGAAGCGGTGAAGGGCAGTGGCCGAGAGGTTCAGTCGTTGCTGACCGACTCGCTCGCCAGATTTAGTGCTTTGACGGAGGACGAGTAGCAGCCATGCCACTCAGAAGAGAACGGTACAACGCACGGGGAACCTGGTGTTTTATGCAGGACACTGCCGTACCAATCGATGTTGATGGCACGTGGCCAGGCAGTCATAGTAGCCTTTGCTAGAGTTCAAGCGAGATGTTTATGGACTGCCGTGCCATTTGCTGGGGGCAACTGCGGCAAGATGTCAGGATGTCCAGGCTCTGAGCCGAGGTACCTCCACGTGCAGATTGTTAGCGTTGCCCCGCGTGGTGCTGTGAGAATAATTGCTTCTTGCCAATCTACTTGATGAGGAGAGAAAAATGTTGTGAGTTGCCCGGTATCAAGGCTACAGATCAAATATTGTTTGCCATATCATTTGAGTTTCCTTGGCCTGGGTGGCCGAGGACACTGATGTGCAGCATCATTTTGAGTTCAAGGTGCCGTGTCTCAAGGCCTCATGGATTGCGGACTCTCCCTTTGCACATGCAGACTTTCTGCCGTGCTCTTTGCAAATCATTTCTCTGAGCTGAGGTTGACTTCGTGCCGGCCCCGGATCTCGAGGATGAGGCAGCCAAGCAGGCACACACTTCGAACCGTTTTTTTCGTCCACAGCGCATTTCGATTTCACAAGCCCTTACAAATGGTACCTTGCAACTGACCAGGGAGCATTGCAGAAAGGCCATTGTTTCAACGCTGAAGTGATGAGGAGCATCAGCGGCGAGTGATCGACGCTTTGAAGCTGAAGCGCGATCAGTCGGCTCTTAAGAAGCAGGAGAGGGACCTGGCATGCCATATGAGCAGATAGCTGAAGCAGAAGCTGTTTCAGGAGTTGACGGATCGGCTGCAAGCAGCGCGGCAGCATCGCTTCCGAATGCTGCTGGCGGATGCTACTAAAGCTGCGGGAGGAGGAGAAGGCACTTCAAGCACTTCCACAGCAAAAGCAACTGCATCAAATCTGGGACGCGGATTGGGCAGTCGACAAAGTAGGGCAATCTTGATGGAGGTTGTCTCTTGCAGAAGCCATGGCAACCCAACTGAGCAAATCACACAGCCAGCCCGATGGCAACGTGTGTCTGTCCAAGTCGCCGATTCCAAGCACAGGATCACATTCATTCTGGGATGTGATTACGCAGGTGGCAGCAAGGGCATCGAGATTGCCTTGCGCTTGCCTGATGGTTCTCAGGTCAAAGGCTGGCCGGGGCGAGGGCTCAAAAATGGATTTATTACATGCAAAGTGATTGTATTGGCTTTTGGGTTGACATTGCCCTTGCCATGCCCTGTCTAGTCTTGTTTGCTTTTTATCACCCTGCTATGCTTTGGTGCTTTTCTTTGTTCTACTTGTGGCTGGCCAGGTGCCTACGAGGAAGGGTCTCCGATAGCATGTCTTCTTCTAGCAGCCCTGGACAGTGACTGGGCCAAATCCACGCTGCCGTGGGGCATCTACCTTCGCATGGCATTCCCCAAGAAGGCCTGAAAGACTTAGCTTGAGTGACACAAGCAATTGGAGCAGTCCGGGAGGTCCTTAAGGAGGGCGACCTCATCACGAAAGAGTTTCATAGAAGCATGCTGAGCGTCCAGGACATCCTCTGAGTGTACTCCAACCAGTGGATGCCCTTGATGATCTGGAATTTTGCAGTTGGCAGGAAGAAGAAGCTCCAGATGATGAGCAGATTCTGGCCGTTTTGTCAGAGTCATGGCTACCCAAGGAATGTTGCAAGCTTTGCAAGCTCGGAGTTGCGACCGGGCACGTTTGAAAGATGTCGCTTTTGCTCAGGAAGCTGCGGCCCCCTCGGGGACGAAGGAAGATCCCGAGGCGAAGTTTACTTCTGGCTCTTGTCTAGCCCCCCCATGTGAGAAGCATAGGCGTTGTCCCCAGAGCCCATGCCGGAACTGGATGAAGAGGCACTCATGGCGAGGACTCCGAAAATATTATACAAACCGTGGCGGTGCGCGTCCAGCTCTTGTGCAGGACGCAGAAAGCCTTTGAGGTGCAGCGCCTTGTGAGAGCAGGATGCAGCCAGCAGGAGGCTACGTCTGATCCAAGCACCTCTGGCAGCCTATGCAGAGTTAGTCAGAAGTTGTGTCAGGCCGAAGATAGGTACTCGAAAGGAGACATTCTGCCACCTACCGACGCATCCAGGCTGCCTTCGGAGCAAGCAAGCCAAGAAGTTGCTCTGGCAATTCGGCAGCTCGCTCCTGCAGGCGCCCGGAGCCGCTGCCACCAGCCGGCCCAGCAGCACCAGTCGCGCCCGTTCGTCTGGAGCGGACGTTGCTGGCTAGCACCAGGAAAGGTCCAAAGAATTTCCCATAGCAGCCATCCGATAGCTAAGGCTCTCGCAGGAGGAGGAGCGCCAGCGGAAGATCCAGGCTGTCAAGATGGCTACCTTTGTATTTTTCAGAACAGCAATCCATTGTCAGGTCTGATCTCGTATTTCTATCGATTTAAGGAGGGGTTTGAAATGATTCCGACTTTGTGGGTCCCATGCCCACTCCACCAAAACATGGCTCGTTACTTTTGTTGCCCTGCTCCTCAGCTTGACGGCTCCTTGCTGTTATCTTGCCCGCTGCCGCTTGGAGTCCTTGTTCTTATGCTTTCCCAGCTGCGCCACCGCCTGCCCTGGAAAGCGGTCAGGGGGTGTTCGTTTCGACTGATCATCTGATTTGAGATGCGGTTGGACAGCCATGTTGCGGAATCAGCTGTGCATGCAGACACATTCGCCTTTTTGAAGCGAGGTGGTCATGAACTTCACAGGGGTGGATATCGATGTTGCGCAAGTTGCGCTGGAGGACGCTGGCTGGACGACGGATCGGGCAATAAACACATTGCTTGATAATCTGGCTGCGTAGATCTGTGGACCGATATGTCAGCACTCGGCGAACAACGCTGGATGCTGCCAAGCAAGTTTCACGTTCGAATCGTTTGAATCTCGCTTTTTGAGGAAAGGTGCTGTGCTGGCATGATATTGCGAGGTTAAAGCCTTTCAAATGACAGCGTCAGATGCATCAAATGCTCTCGGGGTGTTTGCTGCCAGGCCTTTCAGCCGTCCTTTGTGAAGCAGAGCGACGAGGGGACTGGAGTGAAGGGCTCGGTGAATGCTAAAGACTCACAGTTTCCAAGCTTCCGTCAGCGCGAGGTGCTTGTGCAGCGCTCCTTTGCCGCACCCGTGCGCTGGCGAACACTCCTGGGCTCGCAGGCATGGTGCGAGGCGATTCCCCCCAGTTTGAGGAAGTTGCACGAATTTGGCGACTTTTTCTTTCCTTTTTTTTGTGAAGACCTCTTGTCCAAGAGGTCTCTCTGGCAGCTTGCTGGCCAGGGCTGGCCTGGCCCCGGAGGCGGTGGACTTGTTGCCGTTGCCCCAGTGCTTTTTACCGTACAAAAACCTTTGCTTCTCAACTTTTGTGGCTTTGCAGGAGCCAGAGTGGCTCAGATGATGACTGGGCCACGGCCCAAGAAATCTCAGTTTTCCATGTTGAGGTGCGGTTTCGTACGCAGACACTACATGCCCCAAACATGTTCTGTTGCACCTTGTGATTACTTGTGATCTTGATGTTGCCTTTGCATGCGGGTCGTGTGATTGGCTGGGTGGCTAGGAGATGTGGTCAGTAGTTCAAGCAGAGCCACTGACTGGATAGAATTAGAGGACATGCTGAACGATGCAACGACTCAAGTCTTGGTTGTTAATGCACATCTATGTAATATGTAAGCATTCAAAGCAAACTTGGCATGACAATGACAATATGCGGCCTTGGCACATGTCACTGGCGATCAAGATGAGGCATGCGCAGTCTTGGCTGCTTGTGGGAGCTCCTCTCCGTCTCCAGAAGATGCAAGCACAGAAGCAATTCCAGAGAGCGAGAGTGTGCTTGGACCCTAGCATAATTATGGAGCTAAAACCAGTTCGTCCCTCAAGCTCTTGCTTGTTTCAGAGTGAGGTCAAAGCCTGTTCTGGCCATGCAGCATGTCCTTCGAGAGGCGAAGGCAGGTCAAGCCGATGAGGTGCGCGGCCAGCTCTTTTGGCATTTGCCCTGTGATGTTGGACATCCTGTACTCAAGAAGCCCTCTGTAATGTGTTTCGGCAGTGGCTGCTTGAAGAGTTCTAAGCCGATCTTAAGCCGGCCGCAAGATTGACGAGGGTGCATTTTTGTTCATGCCCGGTGAAAATGCTGTTTGTCTACCCAGCTTCCGGTTCAGATGTTTGAAGGGTGGGCTTGGAACGGGGATCCCCAGAATTTGTTTAGCGTCTTTATGAAGGAGACGGCATGTCTCTGGCATCGCTTGAAGATGGCTTGCTACAATACTGGAATCCCAAAACACAGATGCAGACTGACTGCTGCCACCTGTAATATCCCAACATATACCCTAACATGACATAGTAGTTTCTGTTTTCCTTCCCATTATTCCTATATAATCCCAATAGTTACCGAGAAATTGAGTCAAGGTTTCTTTGTTCAAAACTCTGCTGGAATCCGTCTAAAGTGCTTCAGAGAAGATTATTGATTCGCTTCCAGTGGAACGACTTCGAAGTTCTCTAGTGGTACCTTGGTTTGTCCAGGCCTCGAAAACTGGCTCTTACTAGATCGTCCCCAGACCAGCCTAACAAAACTCCAGAATTGGCAGCCCTTCGTTTGTACAAGGATTGAGGAAGCCTCTGAAATCTCCAAGTCCTTGACGAGAGAGCATGTGATTGGAGGAGAGCTCCTCATCCATTAGGATGTGAAATCTTTGCCGATTCTGTACCACCTTTGGAGAACCAAAGTTAAGAAATGGCCCTGAGCAAAGTACCCCCAACTATGTGATGATGAAGAATTTGTATTGTTCCGAGATGCTGTTTCTGGTTCCTTGGAAGGTAATCCCGGTGCAGACACTTTGCAGTTTTTTTGACCAGGTTCTCACGGCCTTGGAGACATTCGCCTTGAAGGTGCTACCTGGTGCATTTTGTGGTGAGCGTCTTTTGTTGATGCAAGCTGATGCTTACTTCTGGTTCATGCCAGGCATGACTTCAAATCAGTACCTAATTACCATGACGGGCGCATGCTGCGCCGCTTGCAGCTCTCCTCACAAGCATCCAACCCCAAGTCCCAAGCTATGGCAGAGCCTTATCAGACTCATTAATCAGATTTCTTCATGTCGCTACTGCCGACCATTTTGGTGGCTCCTCGGCAGACGCTTGATCTTTACACCCCTAAAGATGTTGATGATGGAGAGTGGTGTGACCCAGCAAAGGCCATCCATGTCGCAAGTGCCGCCGGCGGCAGCACGAAGATGGTGCGTCCAAGCCTCAGCACATGGGAATCATGCCAACAGTCAGTTAGAGTGTTCGCCGTGCAGGTGCAGAGGACGCACTTCCCGGCAGGGCCCAACCATTGCCGGCGGGCAGCTCTGAGAGTATTGACAATGCTCGACTCTTGCGCAGTCCTGTGCTCTGCAAGCGCTACCAGGTGCACGGTAATAAGCGAAAGCGTGGTGAAGTCTGAGGTCAGCGATTCCCACTATGTGCTTGGGACGCCGATGAAGGGTCCATGGCCGGAAGGCCTGCGCATGATGAAAGAGAGCCGCAAAAAGGCATAAAAAGGCACCGTAGCTTGCCTAGGACTCTCCAATGGCTCGGCTTTGCCGCTGTTCAGGCATGTCGAAGTTTGTGTTTGCCAACGGTAATGGACTCAGCATCAGGGAGATCGTGCAACATGTTGGCAGGCCTCGACCCAAGATCAGGTTGCTTTTGGGGCAGCGAGAAGGGAATTTGGCGCCTTCCTGGGGGCGGAATCTTCTCAACAGCAGTGGGCTATGCGGCAGGCGGCCAACTAATGCCCTTTGCTCCGTTGCGCCACTGCTCCAGAAGGCTTCACGCCCAATCCGACATATGAGGAGGTCGTAACAGGAAGGACAGGGCATGCTGAGGCCGCCCTTGACATTTGCAGTGTGCCTTCCTCTTGCTGCGCCGTCGGCCTTCAAGGCGGTTCAAGTCATTTTTGACCCGGCGAAGATCGACCTGGTTGACATCTTGAGGTGGTTCTGGGAGGCATCATTAGATTGAGAATATTGAGAGGAGACATAGAGGGCTACAGGGCTACAAGTCCATAGCAAGACCGTGGAATTCTGGAAGGCACACGACCCGACCCAGCACATGGGACAAGGTTTCTGTTGGTGCTTGTCTTCTGCAGGGCTTTGGTGCTTTGGTGACCGACGTCCTGTGACAGGTAACGACATCGGCACGCAGTATCGAAGTGGTCCGTGCCTCGGTCAAATGCCTTGGAAGCGTCTGGAAACGTCTAGCCGGCTTGTGCTGCCGCTGGAGGCCTGTATTATTTTGATGATGATCAGCGGCAGCTCTTCCTTGCTAGCAAGGCAGCATACCAGGACAGAAAGGGTCCGGCTTGAGCTTGCAACAATTGCACAACAATTTGCAGAGTGAGTGAGTGGGGTGCTACAGAGCTCAGGATGCATTAAGAGCTGCTGGGATTCAACGCGAGCCTTGGCCCGCGCGGATTTGTGATGAACTGCTGCTATTGGGCTTGCGCAATCTTTGCATTTTTTGAGCGGAGGAAGTGTCCACGGAAATTCGGGCAGCATCAGACTTCCCGAACGGGGTTTTCTATTATGCTGAGGACGAACCTCTGCAACTGCAAGCTGATCACGGCAAATCACCCCAGGGTGAGGTAGATGTGCTTTTGGCCTGAAAGGACTATCACCAGCAGCAACTTGGCTTCTGCTTAAGTCTATTTTGAGGCGCCATGAGAGTAGTAAGCTTTTCGGTAGCAAAATGCTGTGTTGTGCATTTTTTGAGGTACTTGGCCAAGCCTGGCTCCAGGCCCTACTGCTCCGCGCAGCCGCAAGAAGTTCCTCTTCCACCTTTCTCTAAGCCACTTGCTTCACTTCACAGCTGGCGGCTTCCGGTGTTGCAAAGTGATGCAAAGTGTGTGCGCCCTTGGGCATCTTCTTCAAGGTGGGCCACGCCTTCTCTACGCACCAAGCCTTGCTGGCATGTTGAGAAAATTGCCAAAAAGGATCTGCTTGAAAGAGTCGTCCTTGTTTCGGCAGGTTCCAGCAGCGGCTTCCAGACACTTTCTGGCAGACGCATGGAACCGCCCTCAGGCTCCTCAGGCTTGTGAAAGCTGCCGTCCTTGGAACTCAAGTCGCATCAAGTCGCGCCGTTGAGGCCCTGCACCGCATAGCGTGATTCGATCGCCGGACTCTCCCATTGAGTCTTGAATGCGAGCGTCCTTAATTCTTTTCTCTCGCTCTCGCTGGCCTTGTGGTTTGTAGTCAGGGTGTTTGGCCTGAATCGAGCTTGTCTGCCTTGTTCATCTGCCAGCTACGCTGACCCCCAACACGGTGTTTTATTGGTCATGCTTGTGGCATCTAGAGCTAAAACGCTCATGTTGTGGTGACTTTTGCAGGCAGAACATATCCAAGCTCACACCTTTTTTACAAGCCTACTGCCCTGCAGTGGATTGATCTTTGGAGCCTGGCTAGAAGCTCTACCGGAAATCTCAACATGTGGCAGGGATCTAGGGGGCGTAGCCAAGCATGGGAGGTACAGACTGTTGCCTGCATGCAGCCTCCCGAAATCTTTGTTGGCAAAGGATTGGACTCAGTTCTCATCAAGGACGGAGGAGCTTTGACTTTGGCGGCCAAAGAAAATGAAGCGGGCCTGCTCAGCGATTTCAACATATTTGAGACTGCTCAGCCTAGTTACGCAGGGAAGGCAGCATCCATTTCTCGGTGGCTCAGCTTGCAGAAGAACATATGGGAATCATGCTGCTACAATTCGCTTCTGTTGGACCACTTGAACCTTAAATAGCTAAGCTTCAGCAGGTGCAAGTGAGTTCTAGCCATAGCACTGAGCAAAGCATGCACGGAGCTTTAATGGACGCTTGTAAGCTGGCCAACTGACCTGGTAGAAAAACTCGAGCTTTCAAAGCTGGAGTTTGAACACCTCTTCGCCTGGATGGCCCAGAAATGCTTAGCACCTCCCATGTGGCTTCAGCCAGAGCCGTGGCAGCTTGAAGAAATGGAATTTGCTACATGCTTGTAGCTTTGCTCCCTCCGTGTGGTTCCTCCAATTCCTGATGCATGTGCCTGCAGAACTGGCTCAACTCATGCGGCGGGTGTCCTCTGGCATGTGGGAACCTGTGTTGTACTGCTAAGCAGCTGTGGTCAAAATGTTGCGAAGCAGGTTCCCAAACCAAGCAACCCAAGCCCGAAGTGGGGCGCGAGACGCTTCAATTCTTTGGAGAGGGTATGGGGCATCTAAGGCAAACTTTCTTGCCTCCTGCCTGCAGTAACTGCACGCATTTTTAAGTGATTCTTTTCCGCTCTTTGCGTTCAACGCTATATGACACGAACAAGCGGCAAGTCAGGATGTCTTGAGCTGCGAGCCACCTGCCACAGAGGCCGTGCTTTGCGTTGAGATGCGAAGTCTTGCGATATTGGTTTGGACAACTTTGCAGGTTGTCTTTGCCACCGGCCTGGCAGACTGCAGCCAAGCTGGGCAGACCTGTCAGCAGAGCTGTCGCTCTTTGCGGCCCCTGCTGTCAAGGCTTTATCCGCACCTGACTGAGCCAAAATTTCCCAACTCTGATGAGAATTGCGGAGTTGAAAGGGCTTCTTTCAAGGCATCGGCTGTGTCTCCTTGGTGGTGAAATCCTGGAGAGCCCATCGCCATTTCGAGCATCGGCCCGTGTTCTTGGCCGAGTTCACAGCCTGGACGCCAGTCCCTGGACTTCATTAATCCGGCAGCCCAGCAATCCCAAAGCGCAGCTTCACCCAGCAAGGTGGGGAAGTTGTGGCGTCCAAAGGGCTGCTTGGCTTCCTCTCTCTGGACTTGCGTGATCCACCCCATGCTGAAATTTTGCAGAACCATTGCTGCTAAAGATTGCGAGGTCTGTGGCATGGCTACAGGAACTTCCAATGCCCGGCTGCCGCTCCTTCATGGCAGTCCTGTCCTGTGGAGTGAAAGTGCGGCTGGGACAAACTTACCTGTTCATCGGGTCTGCCATGTTGATTATCTTGGCACCGCAGTGCATGCTGCGAGGTATGTCTTGGGCGGGCAGCGGCAAAACAAAGCTCCGGGCTTCAAAACTCGACACCTCGGCTTTCATGCGTTGGCTTCTTTCGATTGCTTCGATGCTGATGCACAGGCGCCTCAGATCTGATGGGCTCTGTGAGGGCGGCCCAGGGTCTGAGTGCAAGTTCAGGCCTGGGAGAGCTTGCCCTCGATGCCCACTGCTCGGCGTGGTCTGGCAGCGGCATCTCTACACGGCTACATTTTCGTGGGAGCCTAAGGGCCTAAAGGCCTCTTTATGGGGCCTTGTGAGGTGCGTAGCTTCTGTACTCTGCAATCTTCGCTGTTGAGGCAGCTGGTGGGTCCAACTGTACTGATCGACTCAATGTGGTGGAGCGCTACAGCGCAAAGCGTGGCTGGGAACCGTGGCCTGGTGCAAGTACTCAGAGCGATTGTTTTAAGCGAGTCTAAGATCTTATCTTCAGGATGCCACCTTTGCCGACGGCACGGGAGGGTTTGGCCCTCGTCGCCCTGAAGCAGATCTTCGTCGCGGGCTAAAAGGGCTTTGGTGTTGCCTTGTGTGCAGTTAGTTGCCTTCTTTCATACTAGCATGAGCTTGAAGCTTGAGCTTGCTGAGGCCATTGGAGGGGTAGCATCGACTGGCTGTCCTTCAAGAGATGTTGAGGTCTTCGAGCCAGCAACCCACAGTTGGGCAAAGCGTCTTGTCTGGAACTAGAACTCGTAGAATTTTCTCGTCTTTCTACAACTATAGCCCAGCTGTTCTGCTTTATTGGCTTGGCAGGCTCCGCTGCATGCCCTATGCCTTCGGAAACTGTTCGGCAGCCCCCTTTGAGGGCCACATTTATGTCTTTGGCGGCTATTCAGGCTACGGCAGCACGAAGACCAACAACTTTAAGGCCTGCCTGTTCCCCCTGATGCCAGGTGTCGGAAGCGAGGACTCCGATGCAGGGTTCCAAACCAGCAGCTTTGGGAATGGGTCATAGGCAGAAGCAAAGGAGAGGAGGAAGAAGAGTAAGAAGTTTTGGAAACGAGGACATTTGGCGGCAGCATGCTCTCCAGCAGTCGCCCAGTTGCACAGGAAGCTTTGTGATTGGAACGCAGCTCGTGTTTGGCATTACTTTGACCTGACCAGTTTCAACTCAACGGGTGCAATGGTATGAGGGGCTTCAGGCTTGGGCACGCGGGCATCGTGCGTGTGTGCGTGCGCGCAAGATGCAGAACCACATCCAACCTCCTAGTCGCAGTCCCTTCTCCTGGAGCACCAGCCCCCGGCATCCTGTGCATGTTTTCAACAGGTTCGAGCCACAAGCGCAATGCTGGCGGGCTGTCAGCGGCTCGGCCCTACCGCATCCGCGTTGGGGCAGCGCTGTGGCGCTGGATGGCGAGGGTCGCCTGTTTGTGTGCGGTGGCTACAAGGCCGGCACGGTCTGGTAGATCTCAGTTAAAAGTGCAGGCGGGACTGGTCAGGAGTTCCGCGCAAGCCGACATGTAGAAGTGCTGGACCTTCGTTGGCCACACCAGGGCTGGAAGCCGGGCCCGCAACCCATCAGCAAAGGAAGGATAAGCTGAGCCAACTGTAGGGAGCCCAAAGCAGCTGAGGATGCTCCCTGGGGCCTGCGCCGGGGGCAGTGCTTCGTTTGTTCGTCTTCCGATGTTTCTGCGGTGCCTCGGCCCTCCATAACATGACCCAGATGCCCGCAGAGTCCAGGGCCAAGACCAATTCATCCAGTAATCACACACCATGGCAAAGAAAACGCTGCAACCACGATGTTTTGGCCACGCATGCTCGCTGTGGATCTGCCCTTCTATTGCATATCGACCATTACCTACCCAAAGGCATCACGCGGGGATGTAAGATGTTGTGATCACATGGAAACGGAACGTGCTAGCCAGCCAGCGCAAGCTTGAAGCACAGCTCCAACTGGTCACGGGAAGCTTTTGGCATCCGATTCTGCTCGCGCGATGAGGTAATTGATGGATGCATCACATCTGCTGGCAAGCTGGGGAGTTTCTCAACTGTGAAAGCGATTTCGCAGTCCCTCAGGCTCTGCCACTGTTCTTGTGAGCCTGTACAGAGGCTTCATTTGAGTTCCGTTGTCCGACCTGCGTGACAACACGCAACATTCAAGACAAGCTCAGACTCTTTAAGTCTTGGACTTTGAGCTCCGGACAGCCTTTGAGAGCAAGACTTGCAGCCAGGCACAGTAAATTACATCTGGTGGCGAATACCGCCTGCAGCTGAAGCATTCCTCCCTTCCCGCAGGTGGAAGCAGGCTATGTAGCCTTCTTGAGTCATGCCGGGTAGCAGAGCGACAGGTTTCCAAACAAAATGGCGGGTGGATTCTTTTCGAGAGTGGCTGATGATTTTGGTGCACTCAACTGACAAGCTGGGAGGTGCTGAAGCCATCCAGGCCCACGATTCTGCTCAACAACTCAACAGATCGTTCTGACCATGCTAGTGATTACTATTTCCTGTCGGGCTGCGTATGCAGGCAGTGGTTCAAAATCGCCGGTGGAGCTAAGGCAGCTGTGGTGGGGTGCTCATGCCGTGGTTGGCTACTCTCATTGTCCTGGTGCTTTTCTGACTGATGCTTTCCATCTCAGGTGGAAGAAGCCATTCGATTGGCCCCCCAAATTGGGGTTTTGGCCTCAACTGAGCTTTTGAGGGAGACGGTTGATCTGATGGTTGTTGGGCTCAGGCTTGCCTGGAGATTGGGACATATGTGGGCAGCTCTCCCAGACCGCCGAAGCAAGCAACACATGAGATCGATTTGCCAGTGAACTTGCAGCTTGCTTGCTGTTCTCGGCCGCATCTGGAGTCTAGTCAACAAGCAGCTGTCATAACATTGACACTGCGCACATAAGGGCGGTGAGGGGTTGGAGAGCGTTTCTTTGCCGCAATTTATAAGGTAAAGGTTCGTACGGGTGAAGGACCAGGAAGTTTGGGAAGCAAGCAAGCAAGCAACTTGGGAGCATGCAAGCCGCAAAATATCCAGCCATGGCCAAGAGGCGCAGCACTCTCAAGGAGCTGGGCCCCTCAATCCCTCCTGAGCGTAAAGAAGTTCCACTCCTGGGGCTGCTAAGCCTTTTCCTTGGGCCTGACTACTGCGACGAGTCAATTACTCTGCTTAGTAGTTCTCATCTATCTCTCCTGCAAGTGCTGCAGCACTACTGTTTAGTTTGCCATTGCCGGAAGGTACTACAAGGATAGCATCCAGTGTTGCTACCAATAACCAGAGCAGAGCTCTGAATTCGCCAGGATCAGCGACCTCGACGCCTGGGAGTCTTCTTGTTGGCATGCTCGGGACCGTTAGCTGCAGTCGCTCCGATGGAGATAGATTGACCGTGCATGACAGTTCTGGGCCAGTTGTCCAGGATACGTGCTGCTAAATCATCAGAGAGTGATCCGTCTGCGCTCAGGTTGGCATGGCAGGCTCGCCACAAGCGCAGCCAGTGAAGCTGTCAAGTGGGCATCTGAGCTTGAAGCCAGTAAGGGTTGTCAGATCACAAGATGATACGAGACTCAGGTTGTGGTCGACGCTTTTGCCTCCGCCTGGTCGGCTTTGGTGGCTTGGGCCTGGGTACGCAGGCGGGAGGGGGCGAATATTCTGTTTTGCTGTGCTGCTTTTGCATCAACCCCACCCCCCCGGGCCACACTAAGAGCATTGCTCCCTGTACTCATGTCTTTAAAGTTTGGTTAGCATGGTATTTGAATGTCTGTTGATGAACGTCTGGCAGCTTCTAAGTCAGGCGCGCAGAAGGGGGCCGGGCCCGGGATAGCCATCCTAGCTGTCTCAATCATGGACAGTGGCTTACTTTGTTCGCAATTCCGCCACGGTTCGCCTTCAGGTTGTACTGGTGTCTGCAGCGGCACCCTCTTTCAAATCTACTTTGACCGCAACCGAGCTATACACGACCTGAGCAATTAACCCAAAGCGTCAACCGCAGGCTCTACCACTAGAAGTACAAGCTGAGGATACGTTGCCTGGCATGAACCTGCAGATCTTTCAGTCCTTGATCAGTCTTGTCTGATGTGTTCCGACTCAGGAAGCGGTTCAGCAAGGTCAACACAGCAGCACCCTTTCACTTCGTGTTGGCAGTGACTGCAGAGCCTTGCCCATGTCAACCCATAAGCATGCTTCCACGACTGAGGTGATTAACTCTTATACGGAGAATGCCGGTGTGGCTGGCCAGAACAACAAGCAGGTAGCAGCATATGCTGACTTGGGAGAGGCTGGAACCTGCAACCATCTTTCGGTCCTATAGAGTATCCTGCCCGCAAGACACTCGTAGGGGCTCAAAGCGGCCACGATCTACAAGCCCAAGTTTGAAGATGGAGATCCGGATGCGTCTAGGAAGGTGTCTGAAGGTGACCTGGTTACTGTCGACATGCTGCTTGGGCTCCGTTTGAGGATCAATCGCTGATCATTTAAACCCCTTGTTCATTGTTATTCCTGCTTGAAGCTCAGGATTGGGTACCTAACCGGCTGGAATGGGAACATTTTCATCCGCACGCAGGACTTTCTTCAGAAAGCCCGGAATCGGCATGTAGACACCACTTCCCACCTGCCAGCTGCAGACCAGAGGATAAGAGCGGCTTTTCGGAAAAGCCGGTGACCTTCAGAGTGGGACGGGGTGATGCAATCCCTGGACTGGATCGTGGAGTCGTTGGGATGTTGAAAGGCACATGCTCCAGTGGCCATACAAGTACGTTGTGGATGTAAAACTTTTGCCAAGCAAGCAGGCGAGAAGCGTCGATTGGTGATACCACCAGCGCTTGGGCCAGCATCTCAGAGCCGACAAGAGGAGGAGGAATGTGGAAGAAGGAACTCGCAGAAAGTCTTCGCCGACTGAGTCGCAGAGCGTATGAGTCGCAAGGTATCCGCGGCCCTGTAGCGATGACCAACTCGGGAAGCCGGGCGCCATCCCTGACCCACGAGAGCTCCTCGGAAGCACCTTTAGTCACAGGTCCGTGCCGATCGCGGTAAGCTGCTCAGCTGCTCTCAGGTCCGCATCCGGTTCCGGGGAGCCCTGGGAGCTTAGAAACAGACTGCTGCACCGAGCTCAGCGAAGGTGCTTTAAATGTTCAGATGGGGTTGGCCGCGTTGAGTGGGGAAAGCTTTGGATCTGAGGAATGGCGTTCTTAACAATGCCAGGGATGACACTCTTGTCATAGACGTCAAGATCAATCGGATCACCAGCTGAAGCAAATTGGACTGGTGCCCCTGCAATCTGGCACATCGAGAAAAACAGCCGTTGCTTTGAGCTGCCGACAAATAACAACTTCGTCTCTGCATCTTCCTCACTTTTTCATTTGAGGCTACACAGCAATCCGTCTGGCCTCACGCCAGCCTGGCTTGATTTTCTCCTTGGCAGTGTGAGGTGCTAGCTAACATCAAGAGCACCTCAGAAAGCTTGGCTGTGTTTGTAACGGGCTTCGGAGCCCGCTTCGCGACAACCGTTGTTCATGACCATGATCAGAAGTCTGCCATCAAGGCTTGAAACCAAGGCTCGGCAACAAAGGCTTGAAACAAACGAGCGGTGTTCCAATGTCAATCCCTGATTTCGCAGACACGGCCACAATGTCATGCGGCGCTCCAGAGCTGGCATAAAGTGCTTTCAGCACGTGCCGGGGACCGGCGACTGCAACTTGAAGACCTTCCTCAATCCAAAGTGTAGGTGTAGGTCAGATCGTTTTTTTGTAGACTGGCCAGCTCCAGATCCTTCTCCTTTCTTGAGGGCATATGATATGAGGGCAGCACGTGTAATTACAGTTGCTGTTTTGCTGAACCAACATCAGGTGGCACTCGGTTTGCTCCTAGCTTGCAGCTTCTGCATGCCGGCCGTCTGGACGAATATGGGCTCAGCCGACATGTCACAATGCGCAGCTTGCGTTGTAAATCTGCGCCTGATTAGTCAGTTCAGCCATGGACAAGGACGAAGGGCATGTGGTCGTGGTCAAGAACACCTTCATTGACCTTGATGATGCCCCAAGAATGCCAACCCTAGCTCGTGCGTCAACAACACCAGGCGGATATGTGGGTAAGGAAGTGGAGGAGGAGGAGGCGGACCAAAACGAGGACGAAGGCGAGGGTGAGGAGGGTGATGGCGACATGGGTGAAGTTGCTGCGCCACCAATGCCTGAGCTGTACCGTGTGGTCACGCTTGATGGGTATGAGCCAGAGAGCGATTGGGCTTGGACAGTATCTTCCTCACCCGTCGCAACACCAGCAGCTGGATGTGGTGGCTCGGTGCCCGCGCAGCCATTCCCAGCGCAGCCGGTGCCAGCCGGCACTGTGGTCATGATGCCTGCAGCAATGCCCATGCCAATTCCTGTTGGTATGCCACCCTCGCAGCGCTTTGACCGATGGCCTCACGCTATGCCACCCACCCAAGCCGGAGCTTCAGAAGTTCCTGCGCCTGGCATGCCTGGTGTCCAGCTACCGATCTCCCCAAGTCCTGGACCGACAGGACCAAGTGCAGACGCCCCGCGGGCAGATCCACCAGTTGTTCCAGCTGCTGCCGCACCACGAGCTCCAGTGTTGCAGCGGGCGTTCAGTGTGAACAGCCGCATCTTCCGCATTCATTGGACAGTGGACGCTAGAGTCCTGAAGACGTCTGACAGGGAGAAAGTCTCGCCTCCCTTCGAGGTGTCAATGGATGGCATTGAAATTCAGTTCAAGCTTTGCCTGCGCCCTTTGCTTACCTCAGAGAGCCGCGGAGGCGCCTCGTTCCGAAAGGCGAAGGGGAAGGGAACTGTTGACCTGAGATGCCTCAATGAGATTGAAAAGAAGAACAGCTGCGCCATGACATTCCGCGTGGCTATTGGCAAGGGCTCTGAGTCTCACAAAGTGTCACGAACCATGAAGCACGACTTCTCCGAGAAGCCCATCTGCCAGCTAGAGGGCGAGGAAGAATGGGACTTCAAAACCGTAGTGGATGAAGACACCCAGACCTTCGTTGTGGTGCTGGAGGTCGTCGGCGGCATGGGAAGCTAACGCGAAAATTCGATTTCAAGCTTTGCCCAGGCTGTGCCAAGCCCACAAAGGGCAAGGTTAAACCTTCATGGCGTTTCAGCATCGACCATGCGACGGTCACAAGATAAGAACTTTCGCGACAAAAGAGTGATGGAACGTGTGCTGACTTCTGCCCATGATCCACACCCCTCGTTTGATTGGCCAGGAAGGGCAGGAAGAGCCGCAACCCCTGCGAGTCGTTGAAGCAAGCATGTCTCACCCCTTTCAACAAGTATGCAAGAGGCAATTTTTTAGACACAGGTTGTGACTGTGGAAGTGGAGCCTGAGCATGCGGTAGTCGCTCAACGCAGCCCGGCAGCCTCACTGCACGCACTGCCATTTGATGGCTTTCACGTTGAAAAGCCTACAAGAGCGATGGTTGGTGCAGCGCTGAGGACTGGCCTTCCACGCAGGTGTCAGCCACAAAGCCTGGTGCTCAGGGCCTGAGTGCTTGGATGCCTGATGGATCTTGATGGTAAACCTGCTTCAGCACAGAGTTTGGACAACATTCCTTCGTATCCATTCTTTTGGAAATGGCTATGACCTGTCTGAGGTTGATGTTTGGACTGGACGCAGTTGCGATGTTCTTCGTAGTCTGCCAGAACGATATCCTGGCCTGTTCCTGAGTTCAGCCTGACCGCTTGCCCTGCACGGAACCCATCCCTAGGCCCCCTATCCAATCACTTATGCCGTAGGGTTCAAAACGGATGCGGAACCTCCAAACATCAACCATGCTGTCAAGCACGGCCACGACAAGCACTCTAGGTAATGTAGGAAGTGTACGCCCAAAGCAGCCCAGTGTACGCCAAAAGCAGCCCAAGCCTCTCCCCCCCCCACGGCCCTCCGCCTGCTCCCAGCCCCCTTCTAGCCTGGGCAACCCCCCTCCATCCTTGCAGCCACTTGCTGCTGCAAGAGCCTCGCCAGAGTCAAGGACCCAGATCAAGAGAAAGCATGAAGCAGCGTCCAGAAGCATGACAAGCAAGGCAAAGAGCAAGAGAACAAAGCAAGAATGAAGGCCACAAGCAGCGTTTCAATGCGTTGCACGGCGACACAATCGACAACAGTAACTTACTGGCAGGTAGCTAGGACGAGAGTGTTCGGGGCTGCTTCCTGGATTGCTTAGAGCTCGCATCCATGCACTTATCATGTGAGATCACCCACTGCCGCAGATAGATTAGGAGATTCATGATCTCCCATTGAGACTTGTAAAGCCTTGAAAATTGAACAGCATGAAAGAAACATGTCATACCTAGGTGGACCAGTCCGGTTTGCCCTAGTCTTCATGGATCAATGTGGTACTTGCCCTAGCGGCAAGACATGAGACACCAGGAGGTGCTGTAGCAGGAAACAGTTGTTCGAGGCTCCCGTTTCTGGCAAGATCTCGAAATCCTTCTTCAGGAGGACTGCTGATCATGATGCGGCATGTTATGGCTTTCAAGCCTCTGCACGCCCCACGCACTTTGGATTGTCTGCAGCATGTGCACAGAAAGACACAGGACTTGCTGCTGCCTGGAGCAGTGATTCTGGTGGCTTGGCCAGAGGAAATCTTGTAAGCACGCACTGATTGGTGCAAGAGGTGAGTACATGCTGTATCCGATTGAAGTCTCAGGCCGACAACGTCTTGAAGCCTGGGGTTGCAGACTTAAGCAGACACAAGCCTGGACCATCCTGGACCTATTGCGTTCAATCTGTCTTGCCATTGCCAATGACAGCATTCGGCGTAGTCCGTGCAGGCTTTCATCAAGGCTGTATTCTGAACTTTACCCAGAAATCACACAAGCCAGTTGCACAAGGCACCTCTCTTCCTTTGGCAGCTTTTTCATGGGCAGGGGCGTGTGAAGCTCAGGCTCGTGGTCTACGTCCAGCCTCGTTTTGGGATCGCTAAAGGCTTCAGGTTTGAAATTCCACCCTCTCCATCGGGATTCTGAGACAAAGCGATTTGGGAGGAGCTTTTCACAGTGTTTGGGTACTTGAGATGCCCGAGAAAGCAGTTTTGATTGCAAAGCAAAAGGCTGAAGCTGAGGCCGGCTGTTCCATTCAGAGCTGGTGAGCGTTCCAGAGTCCTGGCCTTGGATTTCGTAAAGCTTCTGCAAGCTCTAGATGCGCTTTGTGGCCAACGTCAGGTTCGCCATGGAGGGGGTGGAGGACCGGGCCCAAGGTTCCGGTCCAGACGTTGGCGGCTTTGTGCGTTTCGAGGATTGCATGGCCGTGGCAGTGTACCGGCCGGAGGGAGCATGTTTCCTCCTCGGTGTTTCAAAGCCTGCCTGGTGTTTTTTTCGCGCCCTTCCACCCATCCCTTCACCACAGAAGTTTCCTGTCCTCGCTGGTTTCCAGCCTGTAACACGTTTTGCTGAGCTGAATCTCATTTTAAGGAGCTCCTTACAAAAGACAACCACAGCTGCAGTGCCACGTGCCAATTGTGTTGGGGATTTTGTCATCATGTATGGTGAGCAGGGGGTCGCTATGTCCAATATCATGTCTCATTCCTTGCGATGTGCCGGTCGGGTTTTCTGACATAGACATCCTTCCGTCAGGCCTGCCTGATATTTCCAATGAGATCCCCGAGGAAGTCTTAGATCTTGAAGCACAGGTGGCCAGCACAGCCAGAACTCCTGCATGTACTCGTGGAAAGATATGGGAAGCAGTCGACAGAGTGGCTTGCAGGCCAATTCGAAGCGATCCCAAGCTTTTGGCCCGGGAAGTGCCACAAGCCCAGTTCGCTTCGACGGGACGGCTTCTCAAACTTTCAATGTGTTTCAGGTTCCTTTTGAGGACTGGTCCACTTTTGCCGGCTGCTGCAACCTTACTAGCTTAGCTCTGCGGGTTGCAAGCAGATTGAGATGCTGCCCAAGTCATGAAAACGTCCCTGGCCGAGCTTGGCATCCAGCCCGGAACTTGGACCCAGTGACGTGACAGCGACGCTTAGGAGGGCAGGCTTGAAAGCAATCTCTGGCTCAGCTGCAAGGTTGCCATTTGATGGGAGCTCGTCTAGACACGCAGATGATAGATGCGTCAACCTGCACACCAGCGTGGTAGGATGGTCAGTTCTGGGTAGACGCGAGGTAGGTGGGCAGGTGGATGAAAAGAAAACAACATGATGAAAAAGCAGAACCGAAAGTCCAGGACAGTGGCATTTGCATTGTGAACCAGTAGGGTGACGAAGGAAACTCCACGAGGCAGAGCGCGCCAAAGCTACAGAGCCACAGAGCCATAAACACGCAGGCTACCATCAAGGACTTCACGCTGAGTCCAGTCAGAGTAAGGCCCAGTCAGTCTTGACGGTGCCTGACAGGCACCATTCGTGCAACCAATCGCAACATACAGTGGGCCATGGAGATGCCGCGAGACAGATCAAACGCTTAGCTTGGCCTTGGCTTGGCCTTGGTGGTAGCAGGCGCCTGGGGTTCAATCAATTCTATCACTTACTATCTGACGAGCAGATGTAAAGCTGCCTCAGCGGTGCTGTCAGGAGTTGCCAGCACTGTTTGCCAAGGATCCAGCGGCAGCAAACATGCCCAGACGGTCCAACAGCTGCTGAATTCCAGAGCCAGAGAAAAATGCAGCAGGATTCCATCGCAAAAATGTTCCACAACTCTTCTTCTGACTGCGCTTTTGGACGCAAGTGCCTCTGGATAGACTTTGCTGACAATTGTGCCATGCAGTCAAAGGATATTCTGCCACTTCGTTGCGTTAAGCTCCTTCCCGGAAAGTCGTAAAGCCGGAGAGATCCCGAAGTCATATCCACTACTACCTCAGCAGGTACATTCAGCTGAGCAGAGCAAGCAAATATCCAACACATTTCATAGTTTAGATTCCAAGGCCAAGCACCTGAAAATGCCACCTCAGCCAGTCAGACACCCCATGCCGTAGACAATGGCGTCTTGGCAAGGTAGCGCGCATGGTCGGACAAGGCCAACAATATAGGTTCTGTGTGATCAGAATTGCATGGTCAGCCGTTTCAAGGCATGGCTCCAGTTGCTGCCTGACCTTTGCTTCTCGGCAGAAAACGGACAGCGGCTCAACCCCTCACATCTGCCAAATAGGGAGTTTGTAATTTCATTCCCAGACAACCTGGGGATGGACTATGAAGCTCACATGAGTAGTCCAGCAGAAAGAGAATGGAGCGCAGCTCTATCTTGTCTTGCGGACCCAGTGGCTGCGGCAAGAGCTTTGGTAAGCATCCAAAGACTTCGTGTACCGGCAGGCGTTCTTTGCAACAGCGCTTGGGAGCTTGATCTTTGCTCCACATGTGCATGCCTCAGTCACTGTTTGTCAGCTTGGGAGCACCAAGTGGTGCCCGCTGTTCTGCGTCAGCCGCATGCCCCATTTCGAGTGATCGTTTGCGATCGCAGGTGGGTTTTGCAGGTGGTGTTGCACGGCAGGCTTGCACCAGCTGAGAAACCTTCTTGGTGTCGCAGACATCTGAGTCCCGCGACCAGGGACTGCGGCATCGTACGGTTCGTGCTGCGCAAGGTCCACTCCAGGGCCTGCTCAGTCTGGTGCTCCAGCCACGTTTGCATGCAGGGTTGTTCACGGTTCGGATGACTCCGCAGTTTGCTGGTGCCCGACAGGCCGATACGGAAGCAGATGAGAAAACGTTCGAAGAGCAGGCAGGTAAGCTCGTCTCAGGCTTGCAACTGAACTTGCACAAGCCACTGTTGTACTTGAAGCGCTCATCCGCAATCGTTTAGCTCATCATTTGGTCGGGTACAAACCACAGAGGAAGCATGCTTCTTAAATTCTCAGTTGACGCACAGCAGCCTACATCCTAATGAAAGCTAGTCCAACAGCTTCTTGTGGTGGACCAAAAACTTTGGAGCTCAAAACTGCTTATGCTCATATAAGCAAGCATCGAGTATGCCTCTGCAGCGTCAACCTTTAATGCGGAGGTCAAAGGTACATGTTCCTCTCATAACGGAGACTTTAGAACTCTTGTGGGCCAATGCAGGCCCACACGAGTTCGGCAGACTGAGAGTTTTGTACGGACAGTTAGGGACATAATACCCATGCATCGAAAGCGAATTGCGATTCATGCTGGCAGCGGGCAGTGCCGAGCTTACTCCCCGACCTGCCCTCTCCGCTTTGAAGATGCAGGCTTGCAGCACGTGCAGTGGCAACATACAGAGGAACGTGGGTCCATGTTGCGTGCCTGAAGGAGTTACCGAATTCCGGACCCAGCTTCCAGGCTTTCCTGCCACACTGAAGCGCTCACCCTACGACTTCCAGGCCGGATGTGGCGGATTCTACGTTTATACGGACAACTTGCCATGCCGAGGTTCACGAGGTGGACTTACATGGTCGAGAGCTGCATCTCAACCATCTCAACCATCTCAGCACTGAAGAAGGTCACGGCTGCTTGACAATCCGAATCAAGCTGAGTTGACACACCTTGGATGGACAGCCTGCAGATGCAACAACTGGAGACATCCAGAAGTGGCACTTGCACTTCCGCCTCTACAAGGAAGGCTGGAAGCAGCAAATTCACAGAGCTTTCGCAGCTCCAAGCTACCGGAAGTAACTCCTTACTGATCTGCTTGAGGACTGGATACCTTAGATGCTGCAGCACAAATTGCACGCTGTCTGGGCCGCTCGAGGCGAAATCTGCGTTTTGCGGGCAGCAAGGACCAGCCTGAAGACAACTCGAAACAGATGTAGCCCAGACGCATCGAGGACCGCTGTGCTGTCACGGTGCAGCAGATGTCCTGTACACGCCTGTTGCCGACGGAGCTGTATGCTGCGCTGCGTCATCCCGTGTCCTGGCTGCATGTGGAGCCATGGCCTGTTTCGGTCAGGGCCTGCGGCAGGATGGCAGCCTTGTAGGGGAGAGACCTCCCTTTCTTAGGGAAGCGTGAATATACTACTTGCTTGCCACACAGCTGCTGACAATCTGAATATATCTAAGTTGAAAATACATGCTTTGAGCGGAGGGATCATGCCAATGACCAAGAAATCTTTTGGCAAGGTGCATTGTAATCCTGATGCATACAGGTAAGCAAGCCTTGGCCCAGGACTGGGACCGTCGCGTTCATATTTCAGATCTGGAAATGAAGCCGTCACCGCTGAATTTGGGAGACCTGCTGGGCAATCGCTTCAACGTTGTTCTTCGTCTAGTGCCTGAGGAGGCTGTTGTGACTGAAGTGTGTTGCTGGTTTTCCTTTACGCTGTTGATGAAATGCGGCTGCCGTAATTGTCTGGCTTGCGGAGGTGCGGTTTACGCCCCGTTCGGCAGTTCAAGAAGGCTGCAGATCACTGGTGCAATCGGGGTTCCTGAATTACTTCGGGACGCAGAGGCCCACTTCCAAGTACGATGTGCTCATTGAGATGCCATTGACTTATTTCCTCAAAATTTCCGGGAAGTCTTCTGCTGTCTGTGTGCAGCCACAGGTTTGGATCGCAGTGCATCCATGCCTTTCATGTTTCTTGGGCAGCATTCGGGCACGCCGAAGGACATCGCTTCCCAGATGTGCTCAGGTGGGAGCCGCGATCCTTCAGCGCCACTTCAACAGCGCAGTGCGCTGGGCCCTCTGTAAGATGATTGCAAGAGGAGAGAGCTCGGATTTACGTTCTGGGTTCACCACAGGACTGCTGCTGGGTGATGTAGAGCTCCTGGGTGGGGAGCCTGCAACCCGCTGTGCTCGTTCCATGGTTTGGGATGAGGAGGTGCAGGCCTGCAACTGCAAGTCATGCTGTGCTTGCCTTCGGGCTGAAAGAGCACTGCGGCACAGCGTCCATCCGCTGAGGCTGCGCAGCGTTGCTTCCTGGACGCCGTTGATGCGGGCGGTAGCACCATTCTCGGAGCGGAGGAGCCGGGTGGCATGCTTCGCAGTTCTTGTGTCGGCAGCCTGGCAAGGCCGCGCTGCGCCGATTTCCTCAGGGCTACCATATCGAGCGAGGCAGTGGCCATTGGAAACGCGACTTTCTTTGGACTTGCCTTGCCGGCTCACCAGGTCTGCTGCGCTGCCTAGCCCAAGGGCTCAGCGCTGAGGAAGCGCTTCTGCGGCTACCTCGGCAAGCGCTGATGCTCTATGCCACTTGGTTCCCACTCGGCTCACAGCCTCCCCTGTCGAGTATGCAGCAAGCATCAGCAAGCCAGAGGTCAAGTCCGCGCAAAGCCTGCTATTCAACAAGGCCTCGCAGCGCTTGTCAGGTGTGCTGGTGTTTCGGTGTTGCTGTTGCGAGCCGATGTCCTTCAGTCAGGCTCTATCTCACCGCGCCGCCATGGGACCCATCCCGGCTGTGGGAGATCTTGTCATGATGGGGCCTGCAGATGGCAGACCAGCTGGACTTCAGTTCAGAATCCGCTAGAGTTCAGGTAGTGAGAGAGACCTGAGCGAAACTGCAAAGACTTTGCAGGATATGCGGGTGAAGCAGCAGAGGCTCAACCTGAAATTCTGGAGCTGGCAGATGCCCACGCAGAGCCAGACAGGGCTTGGGACCTCAGGTTTGCTTCTCGTCATGTATGCCAGCAGGCTATACAGTATGCCTGTAGGTATCTCGGGACCGAACCCATCAGTTGCTCATTTGACCTGAGTGGAGGCTAAGTATTGAGATTCGTACGAGGTGGTTCTTCCACTTCCTGGCAGCTCTGTTCGCTATCCGCGTCTCAGCCGCCACAAGTAGATTGCTTGGGCGCACGAGTTTGTTTCTCTTGCCATTCTGCCATTCTGGTAGATGTTTGTCAGCTGGCTTTGTAAGTCTGTCTTGATCGAAATGAGCTGCCTGAATGGGTTGACACAATCGCAGGCGCCTGCTGCAGACCGTGTACGAGAATGCCTCGCTGCAACTCTTTGGAATTCCCCTGGAAGCCTTTTCAAGCAGGATGGGGTAGGGTATAAGACAAACGGGCTGTGTATGTCAGCTGAAGCATCTTGCTCCTTAAAGGCTTCCTTTGCGCCTGAGTCTTCCTGGAGTCTATCGACCGGCCGTTGCCCATGCCTTATCGAGAACTGTTCATGTCAGAGGGCCGTGATGCTAGTTGCAAATTTTGACTGTCATCTTGGCCAAGCTGGAAAAGCTGCGCAAAGCCTCAAGCAATCCTTGAGTGACTTCTGATCTGGCCCAAGAAGTGAGCAAGAGCTTTTTGCAGCAATGGCAAGAGCCATGGAGGCGCCCGGTCTGTTCAAGGTCGTGAGGCGTGAGTGGATTCTGCGGAAATTTTGGCCAGGTTGACGATGGCGATGCTGATGACGACTGGGACCCTCAAGTGGCACCCGGCGTGGTTCTTCGACCTCACATAATTCGGTGGACTCCTGACGCTGGTGAAGGACCAGGACCGTAAGCCCAGACCCCACAAAGCGGCTCACAGAAATGACGTAGAACAGGGCTCGAATGTCGTGGAGAACAGAGGAAAGCAAACGGAGAGCTTCCGTCAAATTCAGGAAGCATTTGAAAAAAACGGGTCTAAACATAATCAAGCAAGCTTCCTGATGTGTTTCTACAAACAGGGTTGAAGCGTGTACCATGGCGAGGAGATGGGAAGGCAGACAATCTCGATGCTGATCCGTTGCATGATCCAGATGCAGATGATCAAGACGAGAAGTGGGTTGCAGAATCTTGGCTCCATGAACGTCAGTGTTGCGAAAATTCATGCAGGTGCCAGGTAGCTAGTCTTAGTCGGATCGGGAGGATCAGCTGCTCCAGCCAGACACGAGCAATGTCAAGACAACGGATGCTGTGCTGAACTGCCCTGGCTGCTTCACGCCGGTATGCCCGATACCCAGCCTTTCCCAGCGAGTGAAGAGTTCGGAAACAACCTGGCGAGCAATTGCATCTCTGCATGCGAGGCTACCAGTGTCAACGCCATGAGCAGTTCACTCGCCAGTGGAGAGCCTCGGAAGTCCGAAACTGTATCGTCGACAAATCCGCCGCACTCTCCATGGCAAAGGATCTGAAGCTCTGCGGATAAGATTTGTAGGTTGTGCCAACAAACGAAGACGGCTAAAGACAGGCTGTCGTGGCCAAGTTGCTGCAAGGGTAGCATGGTTCAACAGAGCTGCAGTGTCTTCTCACGAACATGCCTCATATGTGTCTTCTGCCAAACCCGCAGGACGATCCGGCGAAATACTTCGCAGTTCGATGTGAGACTTGCAATGCAGACGTAGGGCTTCAGGATATGGATGGTATATACCACCTTTTCCACGTTCTGGAGAGCTTGGCATGAGGAAGTCCCATGCGCCACATGAACGTGTCCCGCGAGAAGCTGCAAAGGCTGCAAAGTCTCAGGAGGTGCTGCCGAGAAGTAGGAGGACGACGCCGGTCGAGCCTGGGGGACCTGCTACCAGGCTACCATATGCAGAAGCATGCGCGGGGCCCGAAAAAGTTGCTTTGCTTTGATGGTTTGTGCACGTTTGCATCCGTGAGGCTGGGTCTAACGTAGGTGGCCCCTCAACAGGTACCAGGCAGAGGCATGGGTTGGCCAGTTCTTTCCGCCAGAGCATTCTGGCCAAAAAGCTGGACACAACTGAGACCCACGCATCATTATTATGCAGATGGTTTGAGTCAACACGGTGCAGACGCGGATCTTAATGGAACGGAGGTCAGACGGGGCTGCAGCGACTAGAAATAATTGCAGTCAGGCTCAATCAACGCAGGGTTGCAAAAGTGCACCCAAGTGAGCATTGGCCATGGGAGCGCGAATGCGCTTGTCGAGGTTGGCCTGTCTTCTTCAGGCAGTGCAACTCTTGACGTCAGCAACAGAGAGTTGTAGCAACCTTGGGAACCTGATCTTCTGCCAATCTACGATTTATCATGCCTATGGACTTCACCCCACCGTCATGAACTTCACCCTGAATGTGCCCTGGCTTGACTATTAGCCACGGGTGTACTTTCACCAGCGCGGACGGACGTGTCATGTGCCCCTTGCAGCCAGTCTGCGAGCTCTCCGCTCATGGTCCCCCAAGAGCAATTTTAGCTGGAAAATGCAGGAACTGTTGCAGAAAGCGGTCCCAGACAGATGGGAAGCGTTTGCTAGGTTGGAGCGTGAACGGAGTCGCCGAGTTGGGGGCTTGCTGATTTTCATTCCGGAACTCCAGGTTATAGGAAGAATAAGGAAAGCAAGCGCATGCGGCTGCACCATCCTAAAGTCCTAACCTTGCTGAATCTTCAGGACGCGGCAGTAGCAAGAAATCTTGCGATGAGTGACACATCCATCCCTGCAAGATCATAGCAACATGCAGAAAGTGCCAAGGGGAGCGTGTCACGATTACAGCCTCCTTGGGCAGACAGCTCGATCCACATCCATCCATTGGACCGAGGATGCACAAAAGGCAAGTGGCTGCGCGAGGTCCTGGCCGGAAAGGCGAATCGGAAAGTGCATCCAATCACAGGTATGGAAGGCGTGATCCCAGCCTGTCATCTGGTCCCAGTAAAAAGTTTCTCCAAAACGAGGGCGCGCTTATCCAGCTTCCTGGACCGAAATGCGTTTCTTCCATGGATTCTAACCCTCTGCACTTTGGAGTAGGGAGCCCACGCATAGTGATATATGTATATATATATATATACTGCGCTGAACAACCTATTCCGCCAGCCCCTGTTTCTTTGAGAACAGGTGAGAAGGCCCGGCAGTTGCCAGAAAATCACCCGCTGCTTGCGCATGTCGGGTTTATGGTCTTGTAATGTGAGTGCAGAAGTTATCAGAAGTTCAGGAGTGTGGAGGTTGCAAAAACTTACCTGCCTGGTCAAGGTGACTTTCTCCCCTGCAATCTTCATCGCAGACATGTCTGTCTATGCCAGACTAGATGGGGACGGAAGCACCACACGCATGCCCGTGCATGCCAGTGTGCTGGTGGCTGAATCCTACTTAAGCTTCGGCATGCAGCGTGCCACGCTTCGCGGAAAGCTGGTGTGCAATTTTCATGACCCCGTGGGAGAGATAATTGTGATACCGCAAGCTTCCGCGCAGGAAGCATATCGAATATCAGCAAGCCTGGTGGCCAGGCGGATAAATCCTGTTAGCTCCGTCGCAGCAGCACAGAGAATAAACCTAAACAGGCCAGGCGTTGTCACCTTCGACATAACCGCAGACATGGTAGCCAGTGGAGAGCAGTCCCTTGAGATTCGGGCAAGAGACAAGCCGAAGGGCAGCCTTGAGGTTTTTGTCTTTCCGGCCGCTGGTAATGGGTGCATAGACTTTGAGATTCGCAACCAGTCGATCTCGAAATGTTTCAGTGTTCAGCAGCTTGCCGACTGCCTTTCTTCACAGAAGATCTCGGATATCGTGTCTGATCACACGCCTAGATCCATGAGATTGACCATCACTAGCGAGGGCCGCGTTGTCCTCAGCCGCTGGTCGACTCTGCCACTGGCGGAGGGCCTTTGGTTTGTACTGCTTATGCCACATGGCTCCGGCTCGTCATTCTCCAATGGCTTTGTCAACTACGAGCTGTCCTTGAAAGGCGCACGGCCCCGGCCTTCACTTGCCCTCTCGGCTTTAGCCATGTGCGGCATACCTCTCGTAGTTGTCTTGATCTTCCAGGCGTTAGACATGCTGCTCAAGCGGACTTGGCATGTTCGCCGTGGCAGCCCTCGTGATGCGCGTCCCTTTCTCCAGCTAGTCAGGGAGTGGTGCCTACTGGATGAAGGCTTTCGCCATTTCCTCTGGGGGACAGCGGATGAAGCCGTCAGACGTGGATCGCACGCAGCAATTATTTGCCTGTCTGCTGGCTGCTTCTTCCTGGCAGCTATTCAGATGGCCATGGGATTATGGGTCACTTGTCTGGAAAGAAACCTAGATGCCATGGATCTCAGATGCCAAAGCAGCACAGAATCTAGCCAGAGAGAGCAGAACCAACTGTCATAACGAGCGCTTTTTGCAGGAACCGATGCTGTAGAAACACCTACCTTGTTTGCTGTTTCTATTTGTTGGTACTCCAGACTTGGCCACACAGTGTTAAAGCTCTCTGCTTGTTGAACTCTGTCAGTGGAGCCCTGTGGAAACGATAGATGCTCGTAGTCGCAGTCGGCCAAAGCGTTGATCGGTCATTTTGCTCTGAAGAAACTAGGGGTTTTGACGTTGAACCTGTTCCATTTGTTTGAGATTTCTTCTTTGCTGGCCTTACCGAAATGCGATTTCCCTGGAACCCCAGCAGCGTCGTGAGCCTGGCCTGCAGATGGAACACCCCTGGGGAAACGGGGAAACCAAGGTCCGGCAGGGCTTGCCCGGTCATCCCCACACGGCAAAGCAAAGCGGCAAAGCAGAACCAATTGGAAAGGTCTGGACTCTGGACAGTAGATCGTTGCAAAGATGCCAGCAGCGAAGCAGTGCACTGGCATTCTGCCAAGCAACCAGCAATGCCTCTGGGAAAACCGAGACATCGGGAAGATCAGCGGATGTTGGAGCAAGTAGAATTGGGGTCTCTGTTCTTACGCCCCAGACTGGCAAACCATGGTAAAGAACCGAGCGAGGAAGAGGTTGAAAGTCTAGCCCAAAAGCTTCACATGCTGCATGCCCGGGCAGGTCAACAGTGCTCTAGTAGTGCTCTGTCACCGAGATTGCATTCTGCTAATGTGACGCAAGCAAGAGAGAAGCGACACAGCGGATAAAGAAGGAGACCGCAAGACCCGAAAGGAGACAGAGACAAGTCAAATTCAGAAAGGATACCGCTGACGTAGCTGAAAAGTGCCGAGCAGTGTGAGAAGCAATCAGGCATGCACGCAGGAGAAGCTACGCATACATAAGTTTTGTGGAGCCCTGGAAAGTCTGATAACATCCAGATAGGCGCAACGAACCTGCATGGAATTTCGACCTTTCCTGAACAATGCATAATTACCGTCACATCAGGCCAATTCAGGGTAGAGTAATGGGCTAGTAGTGGAAGGGGCTCTCCACAGAGAAGCAGAAACCCCGAGCCTTGGGAGCTTCCAACAGTGAGTCAGAATTCCCGCTGCGCAAAGTTCATAGAGAGAATGTGGAGATGGGTGTAGATAGGAAAGTGCCTAGCGCCGATGACTGACGAGTAGTTAGGTAATGCGCACGCAATTCAGCTCAGCTTCGAGAAGGGGGGGGCTGGAACTTGATCAGGGGCTGACTGAGGCATAGAGTGGTTAGTGGGGCAATGTAGAGGATTCCACAACGGCCAACTCTTCCTGAGCTGAGGAAAAGTGGATGCAGAGAGGGAAGTGCGAGAATCAAAGAACTAAATTCTGTATCGGGTCCTGGTTGGCTTTCCTTGGTTAGGGAAGCTTCTGTGATTTGGATGACGTCGCAGTGCATAGGGTTATATGATCATGTGGTCTGACTACGGGCGGTGTGTCGTTCCTCCTGGCTACCGGCCTTATCACTGGACTCGTGCCTTCGCGCTGGGCTTAGGGTGTTGCCCTAGAGACGCGAAGAAGAAGCAGAAAGCAAGCAAGCAAAATAGATCTGGACATCCGAGCGACAGAAAGAAAGAGATAGAGAAGGAGATGCGTGCAAGGTATAGAGAGGGTAGTGTCCGTCATTGCTATGTCTCTTTGTCAGGCTGCCAGCGCTTCATTTGCAACAACTCCAGAGAAACAGGGCCTTTGCACTCCGACTTGCTAGGAGACACATATACCAGAGTCCTAGGGGTCCCCTTGTCACGACTTTGTCCACAGCCTGGATGCCCCAGCACGCAGCATGGATTCTAAAGACAGGCCTCAACCCTTGCAGAGCATGATCGGCAATCCTAGGCTGGCCAGCGACGCGCTGGCTCGCTTGACATCTGCCGCTACAATTTCGAGTGCTACGTGCCGTTTGGCCTCGACCTCCCTTTCAACAACATGCTCTCCCACATCCCATATTTCGTCAGTGGCGTACTGTCCATTATCATTGTGACCCACACAGACTACAATCTTAGACTCCAATCTGAAGCTGAGGGCAACCCCGCAGCACCGAACCTCCGTTTCTTCTACGCGCTATCCTGGTGCCTAGTTTTGGAAGGCTTTGGCAGTTCTTGTTACCACTTATGCCCCACGTCGTATCAGTTTCAGTTCGACTCAGCAATGATGTTTGTGATCGCTACCTTGTCCACCGTGTGCTTGTTGGATGGGAGCGACTCGGAGGACCGACTCTTTACACCGGTGGTTCTAATGCTTTTGATCACAGTGCCTATGTGGACGATCAGCTTCGTGGGCACTTGGTTCGACTTTGTGGTCCCAGTATCAGCCCAGGGTGCAATCTCTTATAACATTTATTGCGCGTCCGTTCTGGTCTGGTTCGTATTCATTCTCTTGAAAGAATCTGGGCCGCAAATGCAGGGCACGCATTGTTCGCGTGCAAAGCTAAGTCAGGAAAGGCTCTACCAAGCGAATGATCTTTTAGCCTGGAGTCCCCTGAAGGTGCAGCATGTCTTTCCCAACCTCGAGCAGTCTAATTCCTGGTGCAGGGGGGGGGAGCAAAGCTCTAGCAGTGACTCGCACGTTGACCTGGATTCTGGTGGCAGTGATGCTGTACTTCCCTACACTTCGGATTAACTCTGGCGGAATGTCCAATGTTCTTTTGTTCCTATCTCTTTTGGTCATGGTGTTTGCAATTGGGCGGCAGATGGTCAAACGTGACAGAAGTCGGCGAGACACCCTGTCACTCGATGATGCAGTGCGCTGGCTCAGCAAGTTTGGGCTACTCTTCCTATTTTTGCTGACAAGTTTCGTAGCACTCCACTTCTTCAATACAACGATGACCGATGTTTTGGCATCTGTGTCTTGTCTGCAATTGGCACAGCCATTGTCGGAAAGCCGGTGGTATTGTTCTAGCGCCCAACCCCAGAGTTTCCCTGCAATGATGAGTCCCAAAGTATCCCTGCAGTGCCGGCACTAGCGTATCCTGCCCAACCACAGAGCATGTGTCCCTGCAGTGCCCAGTTCCCAAGCCTAATGCCCAACCCTAGAGCATCCCCAGAGGTATCCCTGCCGCGCCAAAGTCTAAAGTATCCTCGACGTGCCCAGCTCTAAAGTATGCCTCCAGAGCCCTGTATAACCCTTAAGGCATCCCTGCCGTGCCAAACCCAAGGTATCCACGCAACTCGAAGTTAACATTTATGTCTTAGGGCAGCTTTCTTAATTAACAGAAAGCAGTGGCTTCAAGGCGGCGGAGAGCCGGACCCTGAACCAAGACTGCATTTTCATGGGCACCTTTGACACCCATGATGTGTGGCACATGTCATCAGCAATCTCATTGGCCGTATGGATTCTGGTTCTGCTTGGGATTCGCCTACGAATCTGGAGGCGGGACTGCCAGCCTCAGACTTCCTCGACCGTTGCGCTGTCGGTTATCTCTCGGACTAGAACCTGACTGCATGTTCAAAAGGCTTCTCACAGTGCCTCTTCATGTGCTTGCGCTCTTAGAAGTCTGAGGGTTGCAGCGGACCAGAGAAAAACAGACCACTTGTTTCTAATCATTTCCGATCGCTGAGGTCTATCCTCGCGATGTTTCCTGGAATGCTTGGACGGCTTACGATGCGGCGAAGCAAGCGTCCGCCCAACAAGGCCGACTTCTTCTAACCGATGTGGACCGTTTGGAAGGCCGAGGCCTGTCTTCCTGGCTTTCTTTGGCTTCTCTGATTGCCTCGTGTTTGAGCCCTTCTGCGGACTCCGGACAGGACTGCCAGGAACGAAGGTGGCAACAGCCGAGAAAGACAGGTGCGAAGATCGTGCAGACCCTGGGAGTTGAATGGGGGCCGTGCCTTGTGTGCAGGCCGCGTCGGAGCTCAGACAGCTCCAATCTAGCTGCGTGTGGGGGCTCTCTGGTGCTGACGCCTGTCAAAATTATGAGGCTGCTTGCGGCAAAAGACTATGTTCGGAGGATGTGCATTGAGCGCCATAGGTCATGCATCTTGCCACCGTCTTCGTACTTCACAGTCGCCTGCCGAGAGCTCACGCGCCAGTCAGAGACCGACGATCGCCAAAATGGCCGCTGCGGCTTTGTTGTTTTCCCTTTGAAGCTGAGGGATTGAGAGCAAAGGGTGGAGGAACTCAAGCAAGGCTGGAGGAACTTCTAAACATGAAGGATGTGGTTTGCAGGTAGATGCTTCTTTCTCGCAGCTCTCGCCGCAGGCAAGGCCTGTCAGAACTGTCACAGCTATTAAGCTGTGCCCTGAACATGTTCCAGTGAATGCAGGACTTGACAACGCTGCAGCTACAGCTCTCTCAGACAGAAGCGTCTTCAAGGTTTTCGCTGGCAGCTTCTTCAAACTTCAGAAATGCTGAGTAGATACCTTGCGCGGCAGGAAGCCTTTGGAGCGACTTTTGGGGAGCATTCAGAAGTCAATGGAGTCCTGGTCTGAGATGTGGGTTTTTGCTTTGCAGCTGCAGGAACTTGGAAGTGATTACGCGTGTGGGTGTGGTATGGAAAAAGCAACCCAGCTGATTCCATGATGGAGGGCGCGCATGGAGAAGGCTACCAAAGAGATTGAGGCCAAGACTGTGAGCTGTTGCTCTTGTCACTCTGTTCACTAAACTGTCCAAGTGCTGGCCCAGTCCTGCGCGAGGGGGGTCAGTCCACTGCAGTCAAATTTTCTCCCATACTCTGACAGAACCGGGCTTCCTTCGAAATTGTGGCTGGCTTGAGAATGTCTCATAAGACCTTTGACGGACCCATTTCCTGCTCGAAGTCGCGCGCCTTCTGCCCGACAGGGTTTAATGCAAAGCTCTGGAGACATCGATCAAAACATCCGGGAGTGCTTGGTGCGACAGGCCATGCCAGAATAAAAAGGCGAAAAATGTGTTGCAAGCGTGTTTGTGTGGCCAGGACAGTGTCCTTCCAATCATGGCTGCCGTGGCCCAAGCGGATCCCAAGCGGCCCAAGCTCTCTGGATGTATATACACCCCAAGAGCGGAGAATCAAACGGACGATCAAATGGAAACTGTGATTATACAAGGGCTTTCAGGGATAAACTGGAGGTCCTGCAAATGAACATCGGGCGCGCGCAGAAAGCTGGCAATGAGCAGCTGGACGTTTGCAATGCCTAGTTCAGCGCAACGCATCTTGCCAACTGCATGAAGCCTGTCAGAAGTTTCATAAGACCTCTCAACAGGAGAAGGCCCTCACGTATTTATACAACGTGATGAACAGGGAAATCGAATCCAAGGTGCTCGCGGGTGTTGGAGTGATGCTGTTAGCGCGATGCAGTGTAACTTGTCTCCCCGGTCCTGATGCTGGAGGTGCCCGTAATAAATCGGGTCCTGAGCCGTTGCCTAAGCACAGAGGACTGGTTCCATAAACTCGTGGAGTTTGAGACAACTATTCCTCATGCAATTGCAACATGCCAATAAAAGCTTGAGGACTCCGACGCGCGTCGTGAGCTACTTGCAGCCTACTACTCGGACAAAAACGGAGAGGTTCCCATGCAACCAAACTCTTGCAAGTCTTGCAAGTAGCTGACCAATGGTGAGGAGGAAGCTAAGAAGCGGCCAAAGTCTACGGCAAATGCCATTGTGGGTTTGGTCTCCGAGGCTTGGGCCTTAGGTGGTCCAGGACAATTGAGACTATTTTCAGTTGAAGGCCTCGACAGATGCGCAGCCGGGCCTGGACGTGAACAGTTTGGCACCCACTGCACTTTCCAGATTCCAGCGAATGCACTCCACAGCAGCGTCTGAGGTGCTTTGCAACGGATTCGCGGCGTGGCGCTGGATGTCGGCGTGGTGCTTGGGGAGGTCTTCGATGATAAGGCCTGGTTCAAACGCTGTCAGTCAGGCTTAGGACTGAAGCCGGGGCTGTCACATGCCGTGCTTCTATTCTAAGCCTTCTAAGCCCTGAACTCTCTAAGCCAGCGCCTGGATACTATAAGCAGTTCCACCCTCTGAATCATGTTTCTTGCGTGGCTGCCAACAGTTGCAGCTTGGCACGCTAGCATAGGCATCCCTTGCTGCGCTCTTATCAGTTTTTTTTCGCGTACCGGCTCTCTGGTTTCTGGCCTTTTGGCTATGCTCGCAAGCGGCGATTTCATTCATTGCTTCCAGACCTCGGTAGAAGCTTCCAGCTGTTAACTTGAGTTTGGATTGCAGCGTTGTTCAGTTTGTCTGTTTCGTGAGTTGGACAGGTTCAGGAGCGGTTCATGGAGGACATTCAGCCTCTGTTCGATGCGCTGGCTGCAGAGACGAGCGCATCTTAGCCCCGCGGATCAGATGAGTCCCAGACACGGCCCCACGTCGTGAGATTTTCATTTTCCTGAAGCCAAGGTGACCTTGATGTGCCTGGCGTAGGCCTAGAGATGCAATATTCTGTTCAATCTGTCGTTCGCTTGCTTCTTCTGATGTCCGACCTTGATCAAACTTCATGAGCATTGGCTGCTCAGCTTTGCAGATGTTAATGTAGAAGCGCAATGTCGGCTGAATGCCAAGTTACAGGCGACGGCGTCCTGGTGCACATGCCAGCCTCCCTGTGCGAAGCGCTTCTGGAAGCTTTCCCAACGAGGGCAGCAGAAACTTCGGCTGACTTGGCTGCCATAGTCCGCGACCTGCTCACTCAAAACCAATCTGCATCCAGCCCACCCTGCCCTTTGGCCACTGCCAAGTGCCGACACAACAGCACCAGCAGTGCAACTCCAGAGCTGCATGGCGGACCTGAGGGTGCCTACCAGAGAGATGTCTCGACGGGGCGCTGGAGATCGCTTTCACAGGACCGCCCACGGCGCGTGCCCCGCATGCCCATCACAAAGTCGAGTGGGCTAACTGTGAACAGCTTGAAAGCAGATGATGCTTCCAAGCCTGCAGAACCTGTGACTGAAGCCGAGAATTCCGAGCTTGCCGCAGCGGAAGCGGCCTTGAACACAGCGAAGGGAGAGACCTTGAAGCTTTGGAATGCTGCCAAATCGGTATTGGCGGATCCAGTCTTCCAAGATTTGAAGAAGCAGGGTGACATGCAGCGCAAGTTGGCAGAAGTGGAGTTCGAGGAGTCCATGCAAGCAGCATCGTGGAAGTTGCTACGTGGCTCCGTGGACAAGAAGGCACTTGGAGAAATAACTCGCCTGGCAGCAGGCTGCGCAGCCCGGCTTGAATCTTAGCAAAGGGGTGCACTGGCCATACTAGTCGCACACGGTAGTTCATGTGTCTCAAGTTAAATTAGTTGCCAGAGTCTTTGCGCAAGTTGGTTCCAGGAGGGTGGCCGAGCTTTGTCTGTGGGTGTGGCCCGCCACATCTTTGAGAATTCTTCTTGCTGCGGACGCAGCAGCAGCAGAGATGGCAAGCCAAGAGCCAGGAGGCCTTCAGCCCTACCTCCGCGCCCAAGAGCTGAGAATGAGAAGGTGGAGAAGGGCAAGGAAAAAAGAATGGAGAAGAACGTACGGCCGGAATCTCCTTCTGTCCGCAATCGAATCGGTGCTTGGGAGATCTCTCAAGCTGCGCCTTTCGGCGGGGCATAGTTCTATCTCTGTCAGCAAGTCTTTGCTCCTTCCATGCCTGAGAGCTTTAATTCGCTTGCAACTTTAATCAGGAGTCATAGGTGAGCTTTTCTTGCAAGTGCATCCCAAAAGGGCTTCCAGCGTGCAGTTTCCATGTAAAGAATAATGCTGGCAATTTTATGTGTTCTGCAAGCTCCTGGAGCCACTGCCAGGCCAAAGGTTTTCTGCCGCTGCTCTTGGCCTCTCCTGCATGTTGTCTTTTGGCAAGTCATAGGATGCCAGGGATAGCAGCAACTCATGGCTCTATAACATGGCTGTGTTGCATGCTCTCTTGAAGTGCAGAATGCTCAAGGGTAGCCGTAGCTGCCATGGCCATGGGCGGCGCGGCCATGGGCAGCGTCCCGGAAATGCTGGAGGCATTTTCGGAGATAGAGTCAGACCTCAAGCGATCCATGGAATCACTCGAGGCAGTGAACCAGCAGTTCAAGGGCTTGCGAAGCACCGTTGAGGCAATAGATGTGGAGAACATTGATGGCCAGAGATCTCAAGGTGCTGGACGCCGGCTCTCCTTCAAAAGCGTAGCCATACAAGGGCCATTGAGCCCCAAGTCTAGGGACCTGAAGGAGCCAGCAGCACTTCAGAACCACAGGCTACTGAAGGGGCAGAAGATGCCAAATTCTGTGTCGAAGGTGACATCTGCCCCATCCGCAAAGGCAACGGATGCGGCTGGAACTCAGCTGCGCCTTCATGGCCGTTGGATGGACCTGGCCACACAGAGTGCTGAGGGTCCAACCAAGGACACCCGCAAGAAGGTCACTCACCGCTTGAGCCAGATCGGCGGCATGGATTCTGAACAACCTGCTCCTCAGCAACAATTTCTTCAGCCGTTTCATCCGCATGGCGCATTCAGGATTTGTTGGGATTTGGCGGCGATGCTGCTCATTTTTGCTGACACCATCATGCTGCCTTTGGCGCTGGCCTGGGAAGAGGACATGGGTTTCGGACAAGATGCCTTTAGTTCATTGCTTTTCGTGAATTTCTGTATTGGCTTGGCATTCTGGACGGCCGATTTGCTGGTGAACCTGAATACAGCCACGTACCGGAAGGGCACGCTGGTTACTGGCTACCTCTCCATTTTCATCAGCTACATGCGAGGTTGGCTGTTGTTTGACCTTATGCTCCTGACCTTTGACGTTCTATATGTGACGTCAGATGCAGGCAATCTGACGGAGTTTCGCTTGGTTCGTGTTACGAGGGTGCTGCGATTATTGCGGCTTTTGCGCATGTTGAAGCTTACAAGGCTCAACGCTATCATAGAGGAAAGTGCAGCAAACAGCGGCAAGCAGTGGGTCACCGTCGTCATTGCGATTACAAACACAGCCGTGGGCATGATCTTCATTGCGCACTTGCTGACTTGCATGTGGTACGGAGTTGGGCGAGCACTGGAAAACGAAACACGTATACAGAGCTGGACCCTTCGCGCAGGTGCTGGTGTCCAGGAAGTAGAGCCGTATGTGCAATATCTCCACGCCATGCGCTGGATTGTGAACACACCGTCACCTCCAGATCTTGATGCTGCTAGTGAAATCGAGCGAGGTGTTGACATTCTTGTGTCCATCTTTTACTTGCTTGTGATGGGTTCCGCAATTTCGAAGATCTCTGGGACTATTGCCGAGCTGAGAGCCATGAATGAGGCAAGAGACCGGCGTCGCAGAGAAGTGCGACAATATCTCAGCCATCAACATGTCTCTTTCGAGCTCGTATCGCGAATCATGCGCTTTGTAGACTACCGGCTTGAGAAGTTTTCAGCAACGAGTCTTGATACGTCCTTGATCTCACCTACCCTACAGCTTGAACTCTACGTAGGTCAAAGGAGCAGCTATATCCTCGAGCTCCCCATCTTCAAGCTCATGCAAGAATGCTACCCCGATGTCTTTGGCAGCGTCTGCGCAGTTTTGGAGAAGCATGTCTACGAAAAAGGCGAATCCGTCTTTGTGGCTGGTTCTTTTACCTCCTGCCTGCACATCACAGCCACGGGAAGCTACAGCTACATCGAAGGCGTGGATGCATTTGAGCCGGTTGTTCTTGATTGAAATTTGCTGATCTTTGGGCCAAGATTACTTCGCTTGCATGTGATCCCTGCGCTGTACCTGCTGTGCGTTCCCAGTCCCTTGCCCCTCATAGTTTCGTCGCATCTTAGAGAAGTACGAACAGTCACAGGGAGCGGGGTGGTCATCATCGAGATCCTCTCAACTGCTGTCGCTTGTAAAGTCACAGGTAGTTGTGGTTGTTGTTGTTGTTGTTGCTGCTGTTGTTTGCTGCTGCTGCTGCTGCTGCTGCTGCTGCTGCTGGTGCTGTTGTTGTTGTTGTTGTTGTTGTTGTTTCATTTTTTTTTTGGTGGTGGTGGTGGTGGTGGTGGTGGTGGTGGTTGTTGTTGTTGTTGTTGCTGTTGTTGTTGTTGTTGTTCTTTTTTTTGTTGCTGCTGCTGCTGCTGCTGCTGCTGCTGCATTTTAAACACACTCAGTCACAGGGATCGGGGTGGTCCTAATCTTTTCTTAGCCTTCTATAAGACCATGAGCCCTCTGTAAACCTTCCTGAAATCCTTTATGAATTCTCTAAATGCTCTAAACCCTCTACACACCCTCCACAGACCTACGTAATGCAATTAAATCTCAAGACCCAGCCCACTGGCCAGAGGGCCACCGCGGGGTGGGGGGTGATAGGCAAACACTGGGATGGGGGTAACAGGCAAACACCGCAAGCGGAGGGTGGGGGTAATTGGCTAAAAGACCTCTATAAACAGTAGAAACCCTCCATAAACCGTGATCAAACCACAAGACCGAGACCACAGGACCACAGGTGCGGGAGGTGGGGGGTAATGCTATATACGCCTAACTTGGTGCCGAGAAGATAGCCACCATACCATGGGGGCGGGAGGGCTGCCGGGACGTGAGCAGAGATGAAGTTCTCATTGGCTGCGATGGGTGAAGAGGACGAGGGGAGGGACATGAGGAGCAGGCCTTTCATGCAACAACCCATCTTTGCCTACGGCATAAGGAGAGCCCAGTCTAGCTCGCCGCCCTGTCATGCAGATCGCATTGAAGATTTCATGAAAGATGCTATATTTTGATATTCAACCCCTGCTCATTTCCGCCAGCATGCGCTTTGTTGTGTCTTGGCATCAGGGTGTTACTGCGGAGGCCAAAAAGAGGGGTCAACGTAGCTGGGGATGGACGTCGCGACTTGTCAGGCTACGATGCCGAAGGCGCCAACACAGAATTTTCCGGTACCAGATGGTACGGTGAGTTGTCGCTGTACACAGAAGGCAGCCTGCACCAGTCAGCACCTAAGGCTTCCCGGCAATGCGTGAAACTCAAGCATAGTTCGGTTCAGTTGGCGGCATTTGCGAAGGTCCACGCTGGCAGCTTCAAGCTTTGCGGAGACTTTTACATTGACTGGCCCGGACCTTGCTGACTGTGTGAAGCAGTCTCGGGGATGCGCCTTGGCCATTTACAGCCAGATCTGTTGTGCCAAATTGAACATAATGAGCAGGATTGCGAGCCACCATTGCACTCAAGTGGCTGTCAAACATGCAGCCGCAGAACGGGTGATAGTTCAGGATAATTGCCAGAAGTTGGAAACTCATGCTGTTTCGAACCTTCCGACCAGCAAACGATACTGTCGTTCTTCAGCTCAGCATGCATCCAGTATTGGATCAAAAGTGCTGCTGCCACCCGGGGATGAATGGCATACCGCCGGGGCACGGCATACGTGAAACCGTTATCAAACCACTTATGTAACGGTGGCTCTCCGCTGTTCTGTGCTCTGGACATCCCAAGTCTGTCTCGTCCAACCGGCATTCAGTTTTGTCCCACTTCATTCCTGGAGAACGTGGCGCTACAGTTAGAGCTAGTGTGGGCATATGTGGGCATAAGGGGCCCCGCCACCAGCATGCAAAATTCACTGCAGCGAGTCGCCAAGGATAAAGTCCCTTTTTGAACTGTCACCTTTCGACTGTGAATTGCCAGAATTTGAGGCATGGCCATGTTCTGCGACTTTGCAAAGGACCGGCAGGGAGGGTTTGCAGAATGATTTGGACTTGGTGTCACTTCATCTAGCTGCTCCGCCGCATGCAGCTGTCCTGACGTAGGACTTTGTGACCGCAATGCAGGGCAGCAAGACCAAATGTGGTGATGAGGAGCAGGTACATTGGGCAGAGGAGTGCTGCAAGAGGAATCAACACTACCAGGAGTTGTATCCGGACCCGAAAACTCGCTTCAAAAACATCATTATACCGTTGAAGATCAAACGCAGTGCAAGCACCAGTGTCTCTGGTGAGGATGGCAGTAGCTCCAAGGGCTCTGTGCCAATTCCGAAGCCACGACTATCCAAGAACTCTAGCACTTCAAGAAGCTCCAGAGGCTCTCAGGGGTCTGTGAAGGCTTTGGACCTTGATACGGCGGACCTTGATGTTCCCCTGGAATCCGTGACCAGCCTGTACACGCGCTTCAGCGAAGCTTCTGCTGAGACCGTCAATCCAGGCTTGGACACCTACCTGAAAGAATTGGATGGGGAGACGATGGAGACGTATAAGCTGGTGGATGACTTGCAGATAATCTTGCCAGAGTTGCATGCAGAGCACAGCCCACATGTGGTCTTCGAGCAAGCAGGCGAGAGAGATAGGGCGGAGTCCTCATGCATCAGCATCTTGGCGCTCTTCAAGAACCGGTTCGACATCTTCACACAACCGCAGGCCCCTCCTGTCAAGCTAAGTGATGAGCAATGGATAGAGCTGCAGAGGCTGATAACCTGGATTGATGCTTGGATGGAGTTTCATAAACTTCGATGCTCTGCACTTTTGCTGAGAATATGCCGTATTAAGCAGCACTTATCCCCTATTCAAGGACCCGGACTTGGAGCAACTTCAAGCAGTCATGGCTGCCCCCTCAGTATACTTCAGATGCCTGAGCAGCGAGACATGCCGAGGGCTCATTGATCACCACTGCAAGGTGCTACTGGCGATCCGCGCGCTTGGCAAGTCTAAAGCGGTGCTGCAGCAAATGCCGCGGCCCATGCGCCGTCCAGAAAGAGCGGTGCTCCAGCTAATGGAGAGCCGCCCGGCATCCCAAGTGCGATCAGTTATTTTCTGGCGATGTTTACGTGACAATCAGCCTTGCTTGTTTCTGTGGGTTTGTTGTCAGGTGAGCGCAATGTGGTGCCATCAGTGCTGTGGCTGAGTGAGCGGGCAGAGTGCCGGCCTCAGCCATGTACTGTTTCCTACTACGCATTTAGGCTACTGCCACCTCACTGCTGTGGCAACATGCAGCAACCCCACACTTGATTCAAACCAAGCGGCAAGCGCTCCCGTGATGCTTGTCAATGCTCGTGAATCGTGACAAGCACAATGCCCAAATGCACGGCTCCGCAAAAACAAGGCCGGCACAAGCATGCGTGATCCCAGGGATGTCTACGTATGAGTTTGTGGGCAAACGCCGCGACCACTGGGGTTTCTTCTAGGACTGCTGAACATCTCAAGCTTTTTGCCAGAAACCTTGTAACGCCAGTGCACAGGCCTGGCTGGCGGAAAGCTGTCACTCCATGAGACATATGAGACAGTCCGTACAGCGCTACCAAGTACCGAGGCAATACATCGAGAACGCCCTTGAGATTCATGAGCTGTTCAACTTGGCTCAGATGTTGCAAGGTGAAAACCTGCCGGCGAATATCGGAGAGCTGCGTCGTTGCATTGATGAAAAGAGTCATCAGCTCAGCCTTGGACAGCTTCAGGACTCGATGACTTTAGCGCGGCTCGAAGCACCACACAATGCTGCCAGCCGTCTTCTTTCTGCTACGCTCAGGTGAAGACATGTTTCGCTTCTACATCTTGTTCCTGCTTGGTTTCATGAGCGGCATTGCTGCTGGAACCGGTTCGAGATTCATGAACGGCAAGACCCTCGGCGCAAAATTAATGGTCCCTGTGCGCCGTGCGCTGTTCCATTTCAGCAGTATCGAAAAGGAACCCGTGCAAGCACTTGCGCCGCATGCTTTGATCCCGGCTTGAGTAACCTAGCCCCTGGCAACTGGCTGCGGCGCCTTCAAACCCCTTGATCGCCATGAGATGCCACCCAAGCATGGCTTCCTAAGCCAGAGGGGTTGAAGGTCTATCCTGAGCAACGCTCCGCATCAGGCCCAGCAAGCATGGCGAGTTGGAAGTTTTGATCCTTCCCCAATCCCAATAACCTGTGGTACACGCTCCCTCCATCTCCCTCCGACAGCCTTACTCCGATGCCCACAAAAAATTGTGTTTGCTCTTGTGCCTCGAAGGAATGCATCTGCGGTGATCAGTGGCATTCGCTTGCTTCAACGACTCATGGAGTGCTCGCCGAGCGCAATTTACTGGGGCTACCTTGAAGAAAGGGCCGAGAAATTGCGGCTGAACTTTTACACAGCGGAGGACTGTTGGCTTGCTGGCTGCCGGGCTGTTTCCTTTGTTGCCACAAGGGATAGGTCATGCGGAGTGCCAATTGCAGGATCTCGTGCTGGTACGGTTATCTTGCCTGGCAAGGGTGCAGGAGGAGAAAGACTACTTGCAGCTTCGCACAGCTTGGGATGCATTGAAGGCACGTGAGCGAGCAGCCTTGACAGACCATTTCCTGGCAGACGGCATTCAGGCCGGATCAACGTAGATCTCTGTCCCACGGGGTTTTCAAATATTGTAGTTGTGCTGCTAGCTACTAGCATAGACCAGAACACTTGGCCTGGCCCGAAGAATAATGTTGGCAGCAGATCCTGCAGGAACAAGCGTTCATCCTTGAGTTCCTGCCCAACTGCGTTGCCAATGCAAAGGCAGTGAGAAACGGAACGGCTGACAAATTGTGCTTGTGGCTTTTGCTGCTTTTTATTTTTTGTTCAAGCTGTTTGGAATTGTTGAGTTTCTTTGTGGCGTACTGTGATCTTTTTAGTATTGAAGGTTCAGGCAGGAGATCTTGCAGTCTTGCATGCCAGTACTTTTGGATACATGTGTATATAGATAGAGGCCCCATGAGGCGCTGCACAGGTAACTGATAGAAAGGCATGGGCGAGCAGGAGGGATATCCAAATTGAGAGTCCCTGCACGCAAGACGAGTAAGAGCTTTCCCGTGTCAGCAGGCAAACAATACCGTTGGTGTCACCGGTCTACTTGGGGTGCTGGTGGACTTGCTGAACAATCTCAAGCTTAGCATGGACTCAATGCCGGACATGGTTGGCGGCTTACTATAGTCAGCTCTGCAGCTCTCTGGGAGATGTGGAAGACCTGGCTAACACTAGGCAGTCGAGGTGCATTTTGTGCATGGTGGAGTTTACAATGCATGTATACGTGCACCTGGCCCCGTGCTCTTGTTTCTATGCATCATGGTACCATTGGGCTGTAGACAGGCGTGTAGTTTCTCAGGAGAAAGTGATCCCCGTCGACCTCTCTGAGATGGCTGAGTTCATCGCAGTTGTTCAGAACCGATTCGTGTTCCTGACTTGCGTATCCAGATGTCAGCTGCAGTTCGTGGGCCAGAAGCTCGAATGCAATCCTATTAGGGCCGGTAAGGTTTCATCAGAAGGTGTCTCCGTGTCGGGATGCCACTTGTGCGAAAGATTCTCTCGTCTTTTGGTTTCTCATGAAGCCGAACAAGAAGCTCAGAAACTGCACTGCAATGCAACTAATTACATGCAACCGCGTCGAGGCCCGGAAATCTAGCACGCAAGCCTCGACGTTCATAGTAGCTTGGTTGGGTAGCAGCTCCAGTTGCAAAGTGCTGCTCAGCTGCTCGCGGCTCCCTGATCCTGAGCATTGCTCCTGGCTGGCTACGCATGATGTGATGTTCTGTGAGCCTGTGTCCCAGCAAGTTGCAGTCCAGCCTGGGTTCAAAAAAGTGCTGCTCGGCCTGTCAGGCTGAGAAAAGGTACCGCAAAAGCATTGTGTAGCATTGGTTGATGGCCGTATCCAGGGCGTGCCATTGAAAGGCAGTGACTCACAAGTCACACAGTCCCCGGAAACAAAAACGGAAGAAGTAACGGGTGAAGAAGAAGGCAGTGAAAACGAAGATGAGGACGAGGAGAGCATGTGGGAGGGGAAGATAGGGGTCCCAAAGTTCAATAGTACATCTGGTGGATCCACCATGCCGAGCCGGAGGAGGTGGGGTCCACTTGGCGAGCAGGTACTGAGAGAAGTCGCGAGAGATGTCCCAAATTCCTGAGTGAAATCCTAGGAAAGTTCCTGAAAAGAGGTCCAGAGAAGTTTCAAGAGGATGTCGCAAAAGGGTTCCACAGGGGGATGGAAAGGAGCTGCCAATGGCAGTCGTGAGGACGGCGCACTGATGCACGCGGCCGGAGTTTGTCGACGAGTGGCATACCTACACTTGGCCGTGTGAAATGCCATACAGAGCATGCTTGCTGCAGATGCTGGCGGCAAGTACAGCGGCAAACAGCCATGGTCACAGTCGACGTATGACCTCCGCCAGACACTGAAGCTGACTGAGCGCGAAGAAAGCAGGGCAAAGACCCTTCAGCGAGTCGTGAGGCCAGAAGAAACGTTTGCTAGAGCTCCACCTGGGGGCAGTTGATTGCGAGTGGGCAGGGGAGCATGCACGCATGCAATTCTGCTTTGTTGCAGTGGGGCAGACGTTTTGGCCTAGTCCGGCATGCGGTTACTGACCCGGGAGCCTGGCCAAGCGGCACATACTTCACAGAAGAAGAAACAGAAGTCAGCAGTGCACACACCGGACAGGTGAGAAAGGATGGGCCAGAGGTTTGAAATTTCCTTCAATATTTTTGCAGCTAAAGCTAGTGGATGCAAGCTTCAAATTTTCAGCAAGGCCCCAAACACACATCATGCGCTGCTTTGCTACCTGACACCTGATGTATTCCGTAAAAGGATCACCCGCCCGCCAATAATTGAAATTGCCGGCAGTACTTCTGCTTCATCATCCAAACAGACGCCCTGCTGCTGTGATATTGGTCAGGGCCATTTACGTTTTGCTTGAGGAAGACATTCCACAGCACGGAATCAGATGTTAGCAAGCATGTCGAAATGGACGTGTCAGGTGATACAAACTCGATCGTGCCTCTGTGCAGTTGGACGGGTCTGCAAACTTGCAGTGGGTCTGAACTACACCTTAGACCAGCAGGCCCAAACTTATTATGCGCGTGAATTCCAGCTTCTGAGCCCAAACAAGCATACAAGCGCCCACGTTCGCGAACAGGCCAGCATGCAAGCAAGCTAGAGGTGTGGGCTCGGGCTGTTTTTGGGAGGTGTAACTTGTGCTATGCGCCCACCCATTTGCACGCGAATATGCGCATCTTGCTTCTCAGTCCAACCCTAAGGAGAGTGCATCTAAAGATGACTGGAGGCATTGAGCAATACCCAGCCTTGTCGCCTTCATGCAAAGCGCACTTGGTAGCCTCGCCTTGCAGCAGGCAACTGGGGGCGAACCACAGACCCTGATTCAGATATGACCAGCTTGGCATATACACTTCAGGCCTGCAAGCTTAGAGAATTCCATGTTCAGCGGCTCGGTTGCTTGCTCGCTCGATTGCTTGCCAGGACATTCTGCAGAAGCAGGCCTGTTGCTGCAGTTCACACGTGCATAGGCACGCGTAGACCTATTGTTTATTGTACGGTCAACTGTGAAGCCGAAACTCATGGCCACGTCTCCTAGTTGTATGTGAAGGCCATGGGGAGGTCACACATGTTTGCTGGGCAAGTTGTATACATTAAGTCAACCCATGCTTGGCTGTAGACCTCAGAGCCGTCATAGCCAATTTGATGATGTTGCTACAGGGACTCAAAAGGCGGTCTTTAACATTAAAAGTGTGCACTTCACGTTCGGCAGATGGCATTTGTGCTTTATCTTGCTTTCTGCAGTGGCAGGAAGTCTTGGAGGCAGCTTGGCCATGTGGACTTAAGCAGCCATGCATAGTCTCCCGGGCACGTGCTCCAAACCTTGTAAATAGCTAAATGTGTTGGAGGCAGAAGTCCAGCTTCGTTGTGTGGTGGGCAAAGGACAACTTATGACCAAAGGCTAGAGGCTACAGATACAGGTTGAATGATGATGAGGGTTGGTATCATAGGAAAGAAAGGACTTGCAGCAGCACATGTCACATAGCTCAGCACCGCCACCTGAGGCTTACATCATGCTGCTTGTCTGCAGAAGACAGGGGACCATGTTGTTGTTTTGCCCCTTGCGGCACTGAGACACCTTCAGCTACTTTCCTGCTTCAAAACCTTTTGCAAGGCTTGCCTTTCATGTTTCGCTGCAGCTGAGGCGTCGAGAGGAGCAAGGAGCCAGACCCCCTAAGCGTGCATCCCTGATGCAGGTGGATCGTAGTTACAGTTTGGGCTCGGAGTTCGTGAGACAAGAGGCTTTTTAACGCGGCTGCGGCCAAATCTCCAGCTCAGAACTTCCAAGAAGAGTGGGGAGGGTGCAACAGTGCATTCCATTCACACAGGATGTAGCATGAAAGTCACCAAGCCTTTTTTGTCTTTGTTTTTGAACGTAGCTTGCCTGTGTACTCTCCCCAAGCTGAGCCAGGAAGTTGCGTAAGAAGAGAGACCTGGGTTTCTGCCTGGGTTCGGAGAAGAGCACTTCAACCTATGCTTACTTCAATTATGATTACATGTCTTCATTTGCACTATAAGTTGGTGGCCTTGCTGGTGTTGAGAGGTGGAGGAGTAGATGCTGCTCCATCCAGCCTGTATCACGTGCCCTCTCGACGTTCTTTTGCCTGATAGCATTTGATAAGCCTACTCCCGCGTGATCTGGAAGGGGCCTAACGAGAAAGGTATTATCGTTTGCGTTCGCATTGCTGTAGCTGTGAAATTAAGTGTTCAGGCTTTTGTGTCTGCCTTCAGGGGGTAAGTACAATCAAAGGAACAAACTTGCATGCTGGACTCCCAAACGGGAGCCAATTTGAGTCAACACGTGTTCACACAGTCTAAGGCGGGAGCACTTAAGTGCACGATGCCAACGACCGACCCCATTTGATGCCCGTAAGAGGGTCTAGTCTCAGCTCGCAGCAGCTCGCAGCACCACGCATCTAGCTCAAGCTTATCTTGAGCCGAGGCAGAGAGTTAAGTGATGATTCTTGAGCGAGAGCGGGCAACTGCGCTACGAAGGGACGCCATGCAAAACCCAAAGGATTTTGATCCTGCGTTTCTACACGAACAGTCTAACGAACACCGCAGTTCTAGGGGGGGCTTTGCTGGTTTTCCACCCTCCAGTCAGACGCCATCTGCAAGCGGACCCGTGGACTTGCTGAACGGTTGTCCCCAATTTCTCGCCTAAACCAAAAAAATATGCTTGACTGCACCTGCGATCCATGGCTGCTCAACAGCATACGCTTCGGCCTCTTGCATGATTGAAGACAGGTCCTTGCGCCAGGCGGCGTGACCTCTGTGCGAGCAAGGTGTCGCTTAAAAAATAGTTGTGCGCAGCGTGCAGCGTTCTGGTATGCAGCATCTCAAATCTCGCGTCATGCGGCATTTCTTGATGCAGTCTGCGCACGCGAATGTTGCTGCGCTGGCCCTAGTGACAGAAAGCTGTTACTTTGCAATGCTGCAACGTTTGACTGGAGATGGCGTGGAGGACGTCAGGCGCAAACCCAGAAGCATTGTGGAGCATGTCGTAGTACTATGGCGCTGCCAGGACATGCTCACAATGGAGGGGAGACACAGAAGATCCACAGGCGTAGGGCTTTCTCACACCGCTCCCCCGTCCTTTCACCACCCAAATGATGTGAACTTGAACGCTTCAGGCGTGTCACCTGGCTGAATACCAATGTCTTCACCGACAGATGGATTGACCAGGAGGTGCCAAGCGATGATATCGGCTATTGTCTTAACTCCTTGAAGAGGGTTAGATAGGGGATCATCTACATAGAGGGTTATTACAGATACAGGGTTCTGGGAGTTTACACTATAGCTCATAGGTGCAGGCTAATGCCGCCCATTGTGTTGAAAACAATGCGTGTGTTTAGGCCACCAGTGCCCTGTGTCACCTCGGTGCTATGCGATCAATGGATCTGTTGAAGGACGCACGCCTTGGGATCGCATGTAACTGTAAAAGTCAACCCTGGTCCATGGTTTTGAGCTTGATGGACCATATTTTTGTGTGCAAAGCAAGCATGATTGTCAAGCTAGCTGCAGGAAATGGAAGAAAAAGCTGAACAGGTCAAGTCCCCGAGCAATTATATCAAGGCCATGCCCAGTATTTTGAGGATGCTTGTTTGTAGAGAAGAAGACGGCGAGATGCGGCGAGGCTGCGGCTGGCCGTGAAGGAGCACATGGAGCACCCTCAGTAGCTGTTCGGTTGCACGTAGCTGAGACTTTACAGCCTTTACGCCTTTTGAGGCAGAGCACGGCTGACAGATGACATGATGACAGGTATATGGACATCAGGGACATGGACGCCCAGACGAGTCCAAAATACACAGAAGAGCCACCTGGCTAAGCGCCAATGTATTCCAGGACGGGTGACCTTGAATTTTCAATGGCGGTTGCGGAAAGCCAACTGGGATCCCGATGCAGGATCGGCCAATTGATGCGGAGGCTATCGATGCCATGAAACGTCTTGACACCCGCCGAGCACTTGAGATGTTCAAAGAGCTCGAAGCAACCTGGCCTGCCAGAAGCAGTGCGCCTTTTGTATGCCTGTCCTATGGCATGCGAAGTCCTGGCTGCAAGTTTCTCAGGAGAAGCAGGACCAGATCAAGAACCCGAGCAGATACCTGATATCCGCTGCCATGCGGGAGACAGGTGGGGCATCTACGCAGCCAGCACTTATGGCGCTGCCAGCTCCTGTATCGGCACCGGCTGGAAGGGCAATGCACGCACCCTACGCTGCAGCAAATGTGGATGAGTCAAAGATCCACAGAAGAGCCACCTGGCTCAACGCGAACGTATTTCCAGATCGTCCGATCGATGAGGAGGCAGGTGAAGGTAGCGCACCTTCAGAAGCCTGCAGAGTTTGGTGTTGTGCTTTGTTATGCTAGTATGCATTTCTGGAGGCCATAGCAGCCATGAAGGGCCTTGGCGGAACGAGGGCTATGGAACTCTTCAAGGATGTCGAGGAGAAGAAAGAGCAAGTGCGCAACCCAAGTGGCTACCTGAAGATGGCAGCTGCACGGGAAAGCCCGGTCGGCCCAGTTGTGCTGAGTGTACCTCAAGGGGCAGATCACGGTAAAGTTCAGCGGCGGGCAAACTGGCTGAATGCAAACGTTTTCCCAGATCGCCAAATTGATTCGGAGGCCCAAGTGGCAGTACTTTTGCGAATTGGCTTTCCTGGAAGAGTTTGTGACTTGTGCAGACCAGCTGCCCTGCAGGCAATCGAAGCTATGAACACGTTGGGCTCTACCCGTGCCATGGAGCTTTTCAAGGAGTTGGTGCCCTTTGGCTTTGGAAATCCTTCACATGACCAAATTCCCGACAGGACGTTGAAGCAAAGGGGGACCAAGTGAGAAATCCCAGCAATTATTTAAAGAGCGCGGCTGCGCGGGAAGGCGCGTATGCTGCCCCGCCGGCGGCTCCGGTGACACTGCCCGCGCTTCCTCGTGGCAAGGCCCGATAGATGCAGCACTGGGAGCTTAAAGCTTGTCATGTCTCCAGGTATCCAGGCCCCTAAGTGGCCCGGCATCACCAGCCGAACAGACGAGGATACATAGAAAGGTCACCTGGCTGCCTCTTGGCTTCATTCGGTTGCCTCTGCTTCGGAGGTAGTTGGGTCTCTAGTGTCCACCTTGAAGCTACTGCAAGCTTGACACCAATGGCGGCACTTTAGTCGCTCAAGTCTGAAAGTGACTGGTGCGGAGCAAGTGAAGGGTTTGTTGGACAGGAATGCCAATGTTTTCCCCGATCGCAGAATTGATGATGAGGCCACAGGGAATCCAAACAAGCAGACCTAGGACCTAGTTTGGGTAGACAGCTCGATCTCCTGGTTTGTTGAAAGAAGTAGCGCAAGCAATCTGTCATCCTGAATTATCACGCAGGCGATTGGTGCTATGTATGGCCTTGGCCTTGCTCGGGCCATGGAGCTGTTACAGGCTTGCCCTTGCTCTCAAACGCTGAAGCTAAGGTTGGATCTATAATCCCCATACAACGCCTATGAAATCCCCCACAAATCCCTACATACTCCCTATATCATCCCTATTATAACACAGAGGTAAGGGACCCCAAGCAAAAAGAGGAGCCTCTGTAATCGAACGTCAAACCATGTTGGTGGGTGGTTGGGGGATCCTTCCGATCCCAACCGAAGCAGTGAGCGAAAGGTTCGGCGGCCCTGAAGACGGAAAATAATCGGAAATGGATGTCAGCCCCTACATTTAAAGGCTTGGCGTTCAAAACCAATAATTTTTGGTCCTCATCATTAACCCATCTTGAAGCTGCTTGCAGGGCCAGCAAACTACTGTTACACTCAGCCATGCCAGCACGTCTGGTTGGCACCCCAAAAACCAAAACTAACAAGACTACTACGACAGTAGGGCGCTGAGGGCTTAAATCCATCTAACATCCTTAACATAATGGAGCCCCTGCAAAGGAATATATCACTCAGGTTCAGTAGTCCTGATGGACTACCCCGTTTGGAATTTGATTGTCCGGCCTGGTCGAACGAGCGGTTTAGTAAGAGCTCTATCACATCTATGATTTATGGTGGCATTAGATTCTAAAGCCTCAGGATCCACATATGTGCTTATTGGGGGGTGTATATAGGGGGGGATACTAGGAGTTTAGACCATAGCTCATAAAGGTTCAGTAGAGCCTGGCCTTCATGTTCGAAGGCCTGGCTGTCTGTTTGAAAGCCTCTCCTCTAAAACCAACAATCACTTCCCGCTACTAATAAACGATGGCGGGTTCTTATTGCAACTGCTGAAAAGAGGCCTCGTGAATCAAAAGGGAAATCCTTGATTCTAATTACCATTCCCTGTCGATTCGTTTTTAGACATTTTTTGGAATCGCCATGAGAAGCATTACTAATCTAGGAAATGCAGGAAATCCGATTTCAATTAGGTTCCCACAATTCCCCAAAAACGAAAAAGATCTATAGAAAACCAAAGACATGCTTGATTCAATTTTCTTTCGGAGGTTCCTTTATATACTCTCCTGTATATCCGCCTTATAAAATAGATTTCTGTTAGATTCTTCAGGACATAAAGAGATCCCCCATCGCTCTTGATTTCTGATTTTGTTCCCTTGGTGGCCTGAGATCCACCACCAACTCAAGATCACGGGGATCCTCATTGTCCGGTTTTAAACGAAGTCTTCCAGATCTTCCGCGATTTTAGGCGAGGGGTGTTCATTATTGGGGGGTTTCAGGGGAAGGGATGACCCATGTGGTGTCCTCCTTAACCCTCCCCAGAAGCCTCTTTGGCAGATAAGCTTTACCTCATTGGGCCCCCCAACACATCTCTGGACAATGGTTTTGGACGACTCCATTTACTTTGTTGGGGACCCTGCACTAGTTGGGATTCAGCATCAGCCGCAGCAGGAGATAGAGGAGAAGTCTGCGGATTTGCGGAGACCTGGATGCAGAAAACGGAAAACGGACGCTCCATACTAAGCAACACAACAGTCGCATGCCTAGCTTTTCGCTTTGCAAGGAATCCTACCGGCTGGCTGAAAACGGCTGCCTTTCGCGAGGGCCTGGCACCGCCAGATTCAGCCCCTCGGTTCAAGCAGGTTATTGCAGAACAGGTTTACCGCAAAGTGTTGAGCGAGGCCCCAGCTACGCCGAGATGGACATCTGGAGATGATGGTAAGGTGACCCTGCAGCGTACGAACTACCTGAGCTGTGGGGGCTGCCTGCTTGTGTCGTAGGGCGGCAGAGCAGATTACGACAAGCTGCACAGGCATTGCGGCATGGTGTGATTCAAGTTTCGTTCCGTTGCCACACGGCGCTTCTGACAAAAAGGCGGATCACGTGGCTGAACAAAAATGCCGGGATGCTTGGACAAGCCTTTGCCGATCCTCTGTCAGATCCATTTGTTCGATCTGACCTTGAGGTTTTCGTGCACAGCCCGCTGGATGCGGAAGCTATAGAGGCACTCGACACCTGTGGAGGCTGAGCACCCGCTTGCAAAGTCTTGATGCGCCGCAGGCTCTTGCGTCTCTGTCCTTGGAAAGAGCACTGGACATGCTCAAGGAACTGGAAGGCAAAGGATCTGAGGCAACTCTCGACAAGCATGCTGCTGCTTGTGTTTGCGCTTTCCAAGGCTGTGGTTCAAGCTAGCTTTGACATGCTTTGACGATCCTGTCTCAGTGTACAGCTGCTAGCTGGAGAGCGTTGTTGTTCCCGTTGATTGTTTCCAAAAGTCTTCTGTGTGTATGCCTACCAGCAGTTTGGGCCCATTCCCTGGTATGTCAGGGCAAAGCTTCTGGGCGTGAGAAGTAGAAATGTGTCCAATTGCTAACGCTAGCCTGCCGTCGATGTCTTGCCTCTTCCTCTGCAGTTTGGTGGCCAGGTGAAAAACCCTGGCGGCTACATAAAGGCTGGACGCGTGTCACTGTTGCCCAGCAGACATGGTGAAGCAAGTGAAAGATCAAAAGCAAGCCAGCGCGCAACTGGGTCGTTGCAGGCCGCGGTCAAGCGAGAGCATACAGGTGCCACAGTGCTTGGTAGCAATTACGATTTGGAAGTCTGTTTGCCCCGGTATGCGCAGCAGCTGTACGCGAACTTGTTACATGCCAGCCAGGTTATGGAGGCGTTGGTTTCAAGAGGTATGGATCTTCTCCTGAAGGCACTTGGCATGACAAACGATCATGGCTCCCGACTTGGTTTTGGGATGATGAGGTCCAGCTGCCAAGCGAAGGTGACGCCTCAGTCAGTGAGGTTCATGGAGCCATGTTTCTTTAGAGCACCATGTTTACCTGCTGGCGCGTCGTGCAAATCTGCAGTAGATGTACCTGCCTCACATGATGCTGCCATGATCGATCTGCAACTGTAGTGGCATCACGTCTCATGTAACAGAATTCCGCAGGGTCATGTGTGAATTGCTAGCACGCCTTTTCGCGCTTGCTGCTGTTGGCTCCGTAGTGACATAGTGCTGTCGGCTTCACATGCCTCATGCTTGCAGTCGACTAGCCATCATACATCCAGAGAGAGGCGCACTGAAAGGACTTTCTAGCCTGCAACATGGTCGTTGATAACATGTCTGTGTGTCCTTATGGCCAAGTATGGACGCAGGCTACGTCGGGTGGATCGTTTGGTCTTTGGGCTACAGACATCCTGCTCTTTCAAACCAGGCCCATAGGTCTGGGCCGCGCAGTCCTCTTTGGCCACCTGTACAGGCCAAAGATCTGCGCCTGGAGTCATGCTCTTAGCATGCCCCAAGGGAGAAGTTTCAACAGCGTGGTACCACCTTGAGGCATCAGGCCACGACCGTCCAGGAAGCGAGAAGAGGAGTCGTGCTTCAATTGTCATCCTTGCGTAAGCGTTCATGTTGCATGCAGGGTCAGTGCTGGAATTCGGATAAGTCATATTTAGATGTTAGTTGAATGAGCCTGTGCATGTACAAAGGCTGAGTTGGCATGATTCACGTCTCTTTTCTGGCTTCAGCGCAGCGGCACAATGGTGGCGTGACAGAGGATCAAGAACTATAGACTTCATCACTTGGTGCGATGTTCCGATTTAGATATGGATTCGGGAAAGCTGCAAACTTCAGATCAAGGTTGTTCCCTACCTCGAATTGCCATCTCTTTGTAAGAATCCAGCGGCGTGGAAACTGCTGCCTTACGTTGAGTGGATGCTATTGCTAAGGATCGAAGAACCTGCTCGTGTAAGTACTTGACTTGTTAGCTCCTGTCTTCATACAAAACATTCTCCCTAGCAAGCCTATGATGCCATCCCACTCGAAACGATGAGCACAGATGCGAAGATGGATTCGTTGACTGCATTCTGCATGGGTTCTGCATCCTGCTCGCCATGGTCTAGTTTTGGTCAGGGTTTTGGTTTCGGGCTTCGGTGTACCCCGTATTTGCGATAGGGAGCCCTGGTGGGCCAGTAAAATGGCCCCAGCGAAGCCTGGCAGCCAATGCGCAGCCAGAATCATATCCGTCATCACATCGAGCGCTCGGAAGTCTGGGCGAGCCTGGAGGCTGCCACACCCCCTTCTCAAGCCTGTCTGCTCATGGCGTGCCTTTGATAGAAGCCACGCCTGGCAAGGAGTGGCAGCAAGCGACCAGCCCGGCACTGAGACAGATCACTGATCAAGTATACATGCTGCATCGTTCTCTGTGCTGCCTGCGTCTGGGGTTCATGTTTTTCAATCGCGGAACTTGATCCTGCAGCCTTTGTTCATAGTCCTCCTTCTGGTCTCAAGTCTAAGGATAATAATGTTGCATGTCTCCATTCATCCGACTGGCATAGCAGCGACTAGCTGGATGTTTTGTTTAGAAGCCAAGTGCAGGCCGCAAGTTCTATGGCGCGCATAATCACTGATTTGCGCTGCTGGCAGTGCCGCAAATGCCACCTAAGTCAGCCGCAGCAGGACCGAACCAAGTCAGCTACCACCGGGATCAACTTCAGAGAAGCCACACGGTCTTTGCCTAAAGCCCATTCGCATGTGCAATGACAAATCTAAGGTAATTTTGTGAAATTTCTCCGCGTTTGTGTGCGTTCGGCTGATCTGTATCCCCTCATGAATCAAAGCCATGTCTTGTTTTCTTTCAGAAAACCTTCATACTCGGATATGATTGAATTGTTGCTAGAGAAGCTCCGGCCAGACGCTGTTTCCGCGACTCAGCGACGGATGCTCGAGCATTTGATGAGAATGCATGGCGAAAGGTTTGTGCTTCTGTGTGGACCCTAAAGTGTCAGCACAGACCAACATGCAATCCTTGGCAGAATGCCAAAATGTCCGCAAGTCGGTGTCCAATCCAAACGAAGCCAACCTAAAGACGTACCAAGCCCACCTTGGCGGTTGCCTTGCAGGGTGTGAGAGCACACCTGGGGGTGGACATTCAAGTGTTGGTAAGAGCTGGGCATGCCAAAGCCAGAGCAGACAATGGGATTTTTCAGGAGTCCAGAGCAAGGAAAGAAGGAGCACTGGTCAGGGTCTGGTTGCTGGGCATAAGCAAAAAAAGTTCAGGCGCCAATGCTTGTCAAAGGTGAGAGTGGATGAGCAGGGTCGAAGGTTCGCCCACAAGGGTGATGGTGGAGAGTGAAGGGATGCACTCGCACGCCATGCGCGACAAAGGCAACTTCATGTCTATCCCTGCCGCCCAAGAAGCAGAGCAGAGGTGGCAATTGCTCCCGCTCGAGTGCAAACCTGTTTTGGCCTCACATGTATGCAGGTCCTGAGGGAAAACTCGAGCCTCAAGGACTGACAGGCACTTGGCTTGTAACAGTGCAGCGCCTGAAGCCCAGCCGTGTGCCCCCTCTCCACTTCGGCCAAATCTGTTGGATTCCGTTGGTAAGGTCCCGTGACAACCTTCAGGCCAGCAGCGTACCTCTAGCCTTGGTGCAATGCCGGGTGCACAAAACGGACAGGTACACTTTTGTCCAGGCCGAAGACAATTCCGCTCGAGTCCTAGATTTTTGTTTTCATTGTGGTGCTTGAGTCGTTGTCATCGCGGTTGACGATTCTGGCTTAAAGATTCGAGAGATCCCATGTTGCCAGAAGACACTGAATGTGAGGGCCATTCTTTCTGTTTTTGTCTGGTCGGGGTGATGTTGGCAGACCATTCCAGGGGATGATAGGGCGTCTACGCTGTGTTGCTCTGCAGTCCTAGAGACCTCAGATCAATATGAACCAGGTCTTTCCGGCAATTTACGTCGCCCTGAGCTGCACTAGTTGCTGAACAAGCTGGGGAATCTTTCATGTCCAACAAACCAGACCCAGTCTGCTACTGGTTTTGGAACGGGGGCTCTTAGCAAGAGTCACAGCAGGTGAAGGCAGCAACGATGTTGCACATGGCATCGCAAGACTGTGAGAGGACAGCCCTAAATGATAGCACAACTTCTGCGGCATCTAAGCCTTGAATCGGTCACGCCACGGTTCCGATTGCATGGTTGCGGGCAGTTGCCAATGCAATACAATGCAAAGCCCTCTGAGGTGTGCGGTACTGGTTGCATTGTTGGAGATGAGGAATTGAGGAGAAGCCAGGCAAGGGGGATGTCACATGGGCTTGGTTAATACTCAATATGGTGCAATTGGCTTCTCGCAGCGTGCCAAGTGGTGCCCCCTGCAGATTACTGGCCATGTCCAGGGCTATGTTTTCATATGGAATGAGGCCGGAACATGTAAGCGCATGTGGGGCTCTGCCGACTTGCCAAGTCTGCAGCCGATTGAGTATAGCTGCATGCAATCTCAGATTTGTTGCTAGCGCTGTTGGAGAGTTGAGACTGAACGTTTTGCAGTATCGCCGCTTTCCTTGACTAAGTTAGACTGGGCACCAAATATATAACCAGTCCTGGTGCTCATGCTGCTTCAGTGCAGATGTCTGCATTGTCAGCCGTTGGCTCAGTAGGCGTGGGAATGCGTGTGGGCTGTAGACTACACGCAGACGCGTAGGTATGTCTCATGATTCTTCGAGCCTTGGCTCCTAGGCTGAAGACATGCGCTTTTGTTGCGCTTTGTTTGCTTCGCATTGGACTCAGCTTGGACTCTTTAGGTGCTTTGCGCTGGGCTCCGCTGGGCGCTTGGCTGCGATGCATGGCGAGCAGAGTTGCAGCGGCGCCAGAGCGAGGTGCGGTTTCGAGTGAATGGAACGCCTTTGAAAGCCTTGGCTTTTCAAGTTGGAAGGAGCATGGTCAAGTCAACTTCGAGGCTTTTGACGCGGATGCAGCAGGTCGGCCGGTGCAACATGAAGATGAGAAGAGTTTGCGCTCAGTAGGGCAAGGAGGCCAATGTTTGGAATGCGAGGTGACCAGGTGCACAAGCCCTTCCTCAAATTGGAGCGCCGAGAGGTGGTTGTGGTAGTTGGCCTGGGTGCTGTGACTGGCAACAGCATGGATCCTACTCACCCTATGGGGATTCCTGGCAGGATTTTTCTGGAGCATTTCTGGTTGACCGATTTTACCATTGACGTAGGCTTGCCCCCAACCCCAAAGCGATTGGGAAGAAGCGTGCTTTGTATCAACTGCAAGAGCAGGTCTTTGGAATATTCACCGCGGCTACACTGGATAACTACAATCTGGGTGGAAGATGAGTTTTCAAGGATTGTTTGCATGCGCCGGCTGGATCCAGATGAGCCTGAGCCAGCCATGCTTGCATGCCAAATTCCAGATGGCACACGCCAAATGACGGCGTACGCTCACTGCAGCGTGCATGGGATGTTCCGAGGACAGACGGTGAGAGTCGGCGCGATACAAACAACGCCTGGCCTACAGCGTGGTTGCAGTCTTGCCGCGTGCGAGTTCACAACTGAGGCTTGCAATTCCACTCAGTACTGGAAGCAATTTCAGTTGCAGAACTCCACGTTGGCAGACTCGGAACACATGCCGCGCATCATACTGCATGGCAACGGCTTAGCAAGTATAACCGTGGGAGAGCATTTTGCCAATGGCTCTGTTGTGTACCACCCCATGTCTGGATCGAACAATTCCAATCAGACCCACTGGATCTTGGCCATCTGGATAGAAGATGGACAGGGCAACATTCTTTCGGGCCGAGAGTTTCTTCCTTCTGAGGGCAGCCTTCCATTTCACCAGTTCCTCATTCCCTCCGACAACACAATTCTGGTCCCTCATGTGTACTGCAGCTTGTCAGGCATGGATAGAAATGGTTACCTGGATTCTTTCAGGGTCACAGAAAGAGATCTGATATCGGCACCTTAGGCAATAGGCATGGTTCTTTCTACGGCAACAACATGGC